GATACTCCATGAAAGAGGGCAATAGAAAAATGAAAAGAAATAAAAACAACCAAAATCAGGAAAACAGAAAAATGACAGAAAGCCATACCATGGGAAATCTTGAGAAGGAAGTCATCCCCAAAATGTCTAATCATTGTTGCCATACATGAGGTCCCTGATTATACACCTGGCTTGCATACCTTTTGTACTTTAATAGTACTGTTGGAATTTTCTTAGATTATATGGACAGGGTATGGAGAATTGAAATTATGTTTGGCCATTAAGCTTTTACCTTGATTCCCAACGATCTGGATGTTGAGGAGCAGAAATTGCCAGTCCTTATGAATGGCCATATGGCAACATATGGAAAGTCATCTCACTACCTCCTGCCAAAAGAAGATCTCCAGATTCCCACCCTAAATTGACCAAATTTCTAATTTTATTACACTAGTAATGGTCCAGATAGGGCTTCTGGTATAAAATCCATAATTAGGTCTCATTTGGGTACCTCTTCTCTTATGACCCTTTGTTTGGCAAAGTGTAGATGAGAAGAGGAGCAATTGTGATCCCCTTCCAAAACTGAATGTTCACTTTTTCCTAACTATGTTCAATTCAGATTTTTAATTCTAGTTAGATTGACAATGGTACTCTGGTTTGTTAGTGGGTATGCTCAAAAATAGGGTCTCAAATCCAAAGAAGAATCAGCAATATTACCGTCCTGATCTGTCGGCTTAGCTTCCCACTGTTGTAAGGTTACCATCCTATGTATTTTCTACAAATATTGTCATGGTAATTGTTTGGGTGAGCTCTTTGCTATGGTACCTAGACTTTTTTAATTTAAGTGCTGTACTAGACTGGCATCAAGATCTCATCAATTTACAGTTGAGCTGGCTAGATGTAGCCATAAATTCTATGCTAACAGTTTCTTTTCTCACTCTTCTCACTTGTGGAACTCCCTTCTGGCTTCATACTTTCCAGTCAATTTTAATCTGCAAAAATTTAAATACAATGTCAATCACAATCTACTATCCTCTTGATTACTCTTCTCTTTCCACTCATTATTAATATTTCTATTTCTTCTATACCCTGTAACCCCTTGCATGGAATAATACCAATTAAAAAAAAAGATATCCTGTCAAAGAGGCTAGTCCTTTTCTCAGCTTATTTTGGTGACCACTAAAGAGGTTTTTCTTGACTCATCACCTACACTTGAAAGTAAAATGTCCCCTTGCTTTGACAGATTCAGTGGGTAAGCTTTTTGATTTTGATGTTACCATAAAAGATAAGCCATTTTGCTTCATTAGAGTTTATACACCCACTGATGGTAGCAAATGGCTTAATTTCTTTTGGCAGTTTGATCTACTCCTGACATCTCAACAGGTAGATTTAGTTGGTGATTGGAATGTTGTTCTTGATCCTGACACAGCTTGTACTGGGAAAGGATTGAGTGTTAAAGCCCAAGCCATTTCAGGATTTTATCAACAAGTTGAATCTTGATAAGCTTAGAAATGAGTATCCCCCAGGATGTAGTATGGACTAATAACCTCAGCTCAGATTCAGTGAGGCATTCTAGCTACATTAGACAAGGTTTAGTTAAGTGAGTTCATGTAGGAATCATAGGGTGACCAAATTTCATAGTAAAGTTTACACTGACTCTAGGAAATTCATTTGTCCAAGTTTTTTTTACATTAAAAATCCAAGCATCCAAATTCTAAACAATAATAAAATTAAAATGAAGAAAACATGTGTATGTTGGTTAAATAAATCATTTGTATTTACAAACATATATATATATACATGAATAAAAATAATCTTTAGTTGAGTTTAAGTTTTTGGGTGGTTGTTCCACAGAAAAAAATCTATAGTTTAGAAAAGACTGATCATCAGTAAAGATTCACTAGCTGTCTGGGCTGTTGTTGGAGATGATTCATTTCAAGTCACTGACATGTTTCTTTCAGCATGTACTGGGGAGAAAGAAAAAGTTATGTAATGACATTTTCTTTTGTGTTTGAATGGCTTGGAGGCAGTTGTATCGCTGATGCTGGAAGTTGAAATCTGTGAGCTTTTATAAAATATTTTTCCCAAAAGTAGGCTCAAGAAAAATAGAGTTTTAGTTTTCTCTCATTGGTCAAATATTTCACATGGTGATGTTAATTTTTAACCAACAGACACTTTAATTTAAATTGTGTGTTGTATTGTGGAATCTTTTTGACATGTTTTGTAAATATTGTCTGTTATTGGGTAGAAAATGAAGTTTGAGTGTGTTTTACTATGGTATGTATGTGGGTATGTAATTGTGTTAGAAATAGGGTTTACTTCCTTTACTGACCATAGGCTTGTCCATATTAATGTAGACTTAGATATATGAATTCTGGAAAATCAATGCTTTGTTACTAAATGCAAAGCATTTCCAGTACCAGATTTTACTCACTCTAAAGTTTGAATTAATGGGAGGTTTGGTTGACAAGAAATGGTAGGGACTACCTGACATCCTCAATTAGGTCATTTATAGACTTGAGCTGACAGATCAACTTAATTTAGCAGCATAATTGGCATAAAAATCTATACTTGATAGAGCCATAAATTGTGAGATAGGGAATTGGCTATAACTGGGGTGAAGCTAGTCTTTTTGCTTATCAAGCTCTGGTAGTTGGAGATAGATTAAAAAAGTATATCTTCCAGGGCAATGAATCTGGCCATTGGATTGTGTGCAGAAGAATTTGGGAACACGACAGATCAACATATTGCTGAACAGACTACAAATGGCTACAATCAAAGGCATGGGTGAATGTTTTAGAAGTTACTTTTAGGAGCTTTTCACCAGGTATATTTCAGCTAAATTCTGTATTGTCTTATGCTGATGCAAAAGTTTTCGGCATTTTTAACAAAATCTTTTCTTCAAATAGATTTGCAGCATCATTATTCAGTCATCAAAGCATTCTTCCCTGACATTCTATGATGTTTTATAAAAGAATTTCATCTTTTATCCAATGAATTCATCACGGACTTTTTTTATATATCTTCAAATTGTTGGAACTACTGTTCAAACAGGGAGCATTTTATGGAGCAAACCAAGTGATAGTCTGAAAGTGACAGGCCAAGAGAGTATGCTGCATGAGGAAGAACACCCTGTGTTGCTTTTGCAAGATGGGCATCATCATGCAACAGTATCACCAGTTAATTTCTTTATCCACAGAAATATCTTTTTTTATATTCCAAATGTAGCATTTAAACAAACCAATTTCTCCTTATAGTATCATTTAGTCATAAATTCTCACATTTCTATCTATTCAACATTCAAATCACAATGAAAACACAAGTTGCTGTTCCATCATTGAACTTAAACAGTGACAAACCTGGTCAATACTGAGATGGGGGATCACTTGGGAACACCAGGTACTGTAAGCAATTTCTTCTAATTCAAAATATGTTTCGGCTTTAAATAACCCTCAAAGGGTTGATAACCAATAAAAAACAAATCTAAAAGAATTCTTAAAGATTCAATTTAGAAGAATATTTTTCACATAGATTCAATTCAGGTTGAGCTGTTGAAGACTATTTTGGATTTAACCACCAATTTCTTCATGGATTTTCGTGACCTACATTTTTTTTTCATTGATGAGGGTTGATCTAAAGCAGTATATCATACTGGTCAATACTCAAATAAGTAATCACAAAAAGTTACTATTTTTTATTACTAGTGACAAGCTTGTAAAGTAGTATATCATAGTTGTCAATACTCAAATAAGTAGTTACACAAACTGAATATGGTTAACTCCCTCTATTCCACTCTTCACATATTTAAGCCTTTAGCATTCAATATGCCTAAACCCACCCCTGAAATATCAGCTCTTAATATTCAACCCACCATAACCAACCCCATGTATACTTTGCCATAATATATGATGACATCATTGCAAACAACACAAGAAATCACATAAACAGATTTTGATCAGTGTGACTTTAAGAGCTGATATTTATAGGGCAGGTTTCAGCATGTTGATTGCTAAAAGGTTAGATTAGACTAACATGACACTTGTCTCATGTTTATTTCTATAGGTTCATGTCAAACCTGTTTTCCTGGATGTTGAATTTTCACTAAGGTTTATAAATAATGTATTACTATTGATTGATTGCATAAGCAATAAAAGGGTCAGTACAGACACTTCTCAGATTTTAATAACATTGTTCAACAAAAGATGATACTGGGAATTTTTGCATAAAAAATAATTCAAAACTGTTTTATTTACTTATTTACTTTACGTATGTTTTTACAATATAAAAATATAGTTAATTTTAACAAAACAATTGATACCTCTGTTCCATAATCATAATCGGTTGGCCAATAATTTTGTCAAGTTTATAAGTAAATTTTCAACTTAACTGGAGTAACTTTTTGATCAACCTAATATTTCCATATATATTTCATATACTAAATCTAAAAACTGTTATGGGACAGAAGTATTTTTTTAACTTTTTCTGACAATATATCAATTCTACCTGAATTTCTGAAATGAGAAGTTATTTACACTGTTTACACTCAGGTTAAGTTCAGAATTCCCTGTAAATTTCCCAAATCAATATACACCAAGACAATAGTCTGAATGTAAATAGTGTAAATAATGATAACTCCTCATCCCAGAAATTCTGTGATAACAACAACAAAGATGAGGACAATAGTCTGAATGTAAATAGTGTAAATAATGATAACTCTCCTCATCCCAGAAATTCAGTGATAACAACAATAAAGATGAGGACAATAGTCTGAATGTAAATAGTGTAAATAATGATAACTCCTCATCCCAGAAATTCAGTGATAACAACAACAAAGATGAGGACAATAGTCTGAATGTAAATAGTGTAAATAATGATAACTCCTCATCCTAGAAATTCAGAAAGAAAAAAATCCTTTTATTTTGTTTTCTTTATATTTTTCATACACTATTCTTAACACTCTCTCTGTGTCTAAAATATTAAACCTATTTCCAAGAAACAATAAAGAATTCCTTAATAACAACCAGTTATCGATAGTTTAAAGAGTAGTGAGATAGTGGTATCATTTTCTTCTTTATCTTGTTGGCATGATGCGCCAGTAAGTGTACCAAAGGAGGTACCCACCAAAACCAAAGAATGTGAATCAACCACCAGCCCAAATCCTTGTGCTGGTAAGTTAAAATTTTCATGGTTAAATTACCTTCCAGCATTACCATTAGCCCATATCCTTTTGATGTCAGTTTAAACTAACACCTTTTTTTTCACATCTAAACCTATAACAAAGAAAACGGCAAATTACCTCATCGAACTAAGTGACAGCATGTCGCATGTATCATTCCATGGTGAAAAAGTTGCCAAAAAAAGGCACATATTCTGCATGATATGCTGAAGACAGAATATTCAAATTAGAAACAAGTCAGTCACAGGAATCGCTATAAAAGTGTTTTGATATGCTAATATTGTGCGTCTTCTCCCAGTTGTCGACGAATGAAAAAATGCTCAGTCAATAAAAGCAGTTGGTATTCTCGAATTGGGGAGAAAAAAAAGACAAACTTTGTGTATTTAGCTACCACAGCTCTCGTTGGTGAGTTAGTTATTTTTCTGACTGGTTACGTGCATTGCGATTTGTGACATAGTACCTGCAAATCGAGATTTTGACATTTTCTTTCAGCCCCTGATCTTCGAATCTGAACTTACAGTGATTTGTTCTTTTCATTGTGGAAGTCATCTGCAACAAATATTTTCCTTTGCAATCCAAGAACTCTTACAAAACCATCATTGCAAACTATAGTTTTGGAAAATTAAAAGTTCACTGAAATATGTTCCAAAAGTACATAGCTGTACATAGGCCACACCTATACCTCACCCATTCATACTTGCTGAAGAATGAAGATCAACCAAGATGTACAACATGCCAAACCACACTCACAGTGAAACACATTTTAACTGATTAAAACTGATCATTAAGCCATTATAAGATATAAGTACTACAATGAAAACAACATGAGAAAACTATTTGAAAATACTGAAACTCTCAATATGTTTTACATTAAAGAAATAGGTTTATACCAAAATAAAACACCTATAATAAATCATCTATATATCTATAAAACATATGTTTATCCTTAAAGTATAAAATTATGTACAAAATATCTGTAGTTGAAGGCATAAAATTGCATTCAAAATAGTTATATTTTGGCATTAAATAACCCATAGATTGATATGCCACTAAACAAAATCAACCAAACCAAACTAAAATTACACCTGAAATCAAGAAAATATGAACTTTAAGTAGAATGGTCACAATATACAGAAAAAAAAAATGTATCAGTTTAAACTGACACCAGGACAATATGAATAATATAAGGAAGCTAATTCCTTTTAACAGCAGATATTTCAAAGTCTTCAAAATCATTTGAAAATTCTTTCCATTTTCCCTCATGTAACCGTTCAATTGATATTTATCTTGTGTTGATATTTATTCTGATATTAACATATATTTTGGATCATTAATCTTTAAGAAGGAGGGGATAATCCTTTCCCTTTTACCTTCTTCAGAATGTAATATATAAGGCTTAACATTAAAAAGTTGCCAAAGCACATCAAGTACGTCATTATTTTTAAATTTCATGACTAATTTTTCTTTATTATAATGTAAAATGTGCCCCCAAATTTTAATTATTCTACAAGTGCACTCTAAAGTAAAAAAAGGTTGAGAAACACTGGTTTAGACAAACAATCTCTCTCATATTGTATAGGAATGATACTGGACATAACTTTGATTTCACTAATGCCACCCTAATTAAAAAAAGAACATAATTCTAATTTAAAAGAAAATACTTTGAAAGCTTAATAATAATGTTATTACGAACTATAAACACATATCTTGAATATTACGTGACATTGCCATCTTTCTCTGAATCCATTTTTAAAGAATCTAACTTATCTAATACAAAGAGTACATGCATAATAAAAAATACAATCCCAGATTAAAGTGGAATGCCACTCCACTGTGCGATCTGACTGCACAAAGGTGAAGACATTAGAACCCCTCCTACTAAACAGACACACATACACAATTAGAAATATACATTACCATCTGATGCCCACTTATACATACCAGAATTTTTACAAACTTACTTACATATAGAATATGTATGGTCTTAATACATGAGATACGTTACTGACCAATAAGAATGGACCCAAAACAAAATTGAGAATACCAAAGTTTTGTGTTTTTGTCTGTTTTCTCTTAATCTCTGATGAAGCTTTAATAAAAGTGAAACATGTTAAATTGATAAACGTTTCCTATTTGTTCTTTATCTTATTATTCTGTTGGATTTCGATCCATATTTGATCCCAGCTCATCTTGTCTGAACATTGAAACTACTTCAAAAGGACAACAGTATTCTCTCCACATCTCAAAATCTGATGAAACTTTAATAAGAGTGAAACATGTTAGATTGATAAACATTTCCTATTTGTTCTTTATATTATATTTAAGTATCTACATTTTATAACTTATTTTAATTTTAATGTTTCAAATCATTTTACGGAGGTAATTCAGATAAATTTATACAAACAAAAATTTCCATATCAGTTTTATCACTTCTAAAATTCTTTCACTCTGAAGAAAAAATCAATCTGAATTTTAATCCAATAATAAAGTAAATAGGCTCATCAAAACAAATAAAATGAAATCTATTTTAGGAAAAAGGAAAGTTATCTTGATATAAATAATGTAAATTAATTTTCTCTTCACTCTTCCTCTTTTAGCATCCCCTCCACATGAACAGGCACCTATAGCACCTTTAGTCCCTGGTAATCTGGCGGCTGAACCTTATTCCTGGAAGAGTTTGGTCATTGGTTGTCCAGTTCTTAAGCTGCGTACAACAGCAATACGTGCCGCTGTGCTTACATTACCTCCTGGGTGAGTATTCTGAAAGCATTGTTTTCTTTATAACCAAACTCTTCTAGAGATGAAACATCAACGATTTACAGTAACTGTTACATTGCTATATATATATATATATATATATATATATATATATATATATATTTAATGAAAAACAGACACTTTAAGGTACCATTACATTAATTTATTTCACCAAAATCCTTTTTAAAGGATTTTGGATCATCAGGTAACACTTCCAACAATGAAAAAAAAAAAAAAAGTTGTTACCTGATGATCCGAAATCTTCATAAATATTTCAATAGTTAAGCAATTTTTTTTAGATATAGTAAAAAAATTTTTTAAACAACATTTAAAATATTTATGACAGGTAGATTTAAGTTAGGAATATCCGAACAGTGACGTTCCATATCATCGTGACGTCCGTGTCTCTTCATAAGGACGCTACTTGCTAACAAACAGTAATTTCAATTTATTTGTAACAAACAGTTATTTCTGATGAAAAATTGAGGACAATTTGAAATATCAAATAAATAAATACTTTCATAAAATAAAACATTATTATTTTTTAATTTGAAACTTTTTCTATATATATATATATATATATATATATATATATATATATGGCTAATAGGGTGTCAGCTTGTGTTAAGTCATGTTTTCCAGGCATCAGGTCACATGCTGTTTTTGACAGTCTCCATGTTTTCTTCATTTGCAAAATATGGTCTGCCCTACCTGCAAAATATGGTCTGCCCTACCTACAAAATAGTTTGGTTGTATAGAGATTTAAATGTCAATGTGACATTGACTCCATAGGGTGAACCAATCAGTGCCTTGAAACGTGGATTGCACAACATGTGCCTGTTAAACAGGGTATTGTTACCTGCAATACATGTCTTACACAGACTATACAGGATTCTGAAATAGGCCAGCAATTTCAAATTGCGCTGACAAATATACAGATTTGACGCTTACCATTTGGCATCTGCATATTTTAGATACAGTTCATATCAAATTATACAGCTTGTCAACAGAAAGAGAAATTTGTCAGTTCTCTTTCTTTATTAGGAGTCTTGTGAGTCCTAATTTTTCCTTTTTATACTCACTGAAACTATTTATTCTGGTTTTTGCCACTTATCTTCCAGACTTTTTTTCTCCCATTTTAATAATAAAACATTTTAGCCATAGTTCCTCATTTCCTCCTTGGCTGTTTGTCACATTGTGAATTTTGTTAATATTCTATTGCCAACAACTCTTCTGATGGCCAAAAAGGCTACCTTAAAGGAAAAGATGTTGTTTTATTTGTTGAAAACAATTTACAAGTTCTGTGGTATCAAACATTTGTTTATATATATATATATATATATATATATATATATATATATATATATATAATCCAAAACACCTTTTGTATTCCTACATTTTTTAGAATTGAATTTCCACTTCTTTCTAAAGTCTACTTCAACTCCATTCTTCTAACGTCTCCAGCTCAACTCTGAAATTTTATTTCCTATTTATTTTTTTTTCCTCAATAGGAGTTGACAGGTTAGCCTAGATTCACAAAGAACCAAATAACAGAAACCACATCACTTGAGGACTTTCAACAGCAGCAACAACTTAAATGGATAGCACATGTAACTTGGAGAAAATAATTACATAAGATGTTAACATTCTGCACTACTTCAAATAAAAGGTTAGGAAGGAAATACCCAAAGAGCAATAAAAGCTACTGAGATCTGAGAAACCTGTTTTCCTGAAATGTTGTTTTAACAGAAAAATTTCCTGAATTTCAACCAAAAGCAGTACAACTTGCTTGGTCAATGAATGGCAAATGTTTCCTTGTAGGGAAATGGCTAATATTACTATTACCATTATTGCTGTCTGGTTCACACTCCTCCTTGGCCTTTTGAACAGGAGTAGAGGTTTATCCCTTGTTTCTCTGTTTAGGATTGTGTTTCCGATTTCTTCTAAAGTCTTTTTCATTCTCTTCACTCCCAGTAGCCCCTTGCATCTTAGCAGCATCATTGCCTTGATTGGAGTAAATTGATATATATATATATATATATATATAATTATTTATTTAAAAATTATAACATATTTATGTTATAATTTTTAAATAAATAATTATTTGCTCTACTCTGTATTGAGCACTCTTTTAAGAATAGTAATTGTTGGTTATTGGAATTTATTCCGTATACACCAATCCTATACTTGTGTGTGTGTATATATATATATATATATATATATATCTGAGTCAAGTCTATTTACAATAGTAAAAAGCAACCCTAAACACTATTCTTTTATATAAAGCTGAATACACATTTGGTAATTTTCTATATATGTGATTGTGTTTACTTTTTATTTTTATAGACGTCATGTCCTGCGATTCTTAATGACCAGTCCACTGGGGTACAGTGTCCACTTGTTATCACCCACACCATTTGTATTTGGAGATGAAGAAACTATTATGTCTCTTTGTACTAAAGTAAGTTCACTGTTATATATATATATATATATATATATATAAATGTGTGTGTGTGTGTGTGTGTGTGTGTGTGTAACATTTCAGATATAACTAAAAATAAAAAGACAAAGGGAAAACTTAGCTGACATGTTTCATCCTGTAATGGACTTCAAGGCAAAAGTAAGGATTTCATTTTGCAACAAGTATTTAAAAGAAAACAGTTAAATTCATAACCTTCTATAACTTAAAAAATATATAATACATAAATTAACTCCAAACTAAAATAATATAAATATTAATTACATTATTAAAAAAATAAAATTACTCACTTTTGTTTATTAGATATTATAGCATCCTCCATAATTTACCTAAACTTTTCAGCTAGCCAGATGAATATTTAGGAGCATTCTTAAATTTAAAACTAATGACATTTTTATTTTTGTTTATAAATACTTGCTGCAAAATAAAATCCTTACATTTGCTTTGATAAAGTCCATCAGAGGACAAAACACGTCAGATAACATGTTTCCTTTTCTTTTATTATATATATATATATATATATATATATATATATATATATTTTTTTTTAAGCATTTCACCCCAAGCAAGGCAGGAAGCCACTAGCACGCAAGGGATTACAGAGGATTCGGTGCGAGAACAGATAGGAGTGATAGAGGAAAGGATGAGGAGAAGGATAGTAGATAGATCAAGGCAACTGGAGATGACGATTGGCATTACATTTGAATAGTTGGAGATTATAGCTATCAGGGGAACAGGAATAGGGAAGGAAGTTCCACAGGTGAGAGGTGCAAGACACGAAGCTATTGGAGGAGAAGAGACAGCTACATTTAACAGTTTCAACAGTGAAATGGTGAAAGCAGGATGCCAGCCTTGTAGGAGGCTTAAATTCATGAAGTCTTGGAACCGGCAAAAGCAGCTCGTCGGAGCAATTACCATGAAAGTATTTGTAAAAAAGACAGAGAGAGGTGACAGCACATCTGTGAGAGAGCGACTGCAGACGAGATGCCAGATCAGGGCCAATTACATTGCATATCTGTCACTGGATCTTTTCAAGAACCCTGAGGCAAACAGAAGGAGCTCCAGACCATATATGGCAGCAAGGGCAAATGGTTGATTTGTAGATTTGAAGGATCGATTCCGGGGAGAAAAATTTCCTGGCGCAGCACAGGGAGCCAACTTTCCTTGCAGTGGACGAAGCAATTGACTCAATGTATTTGTTCCATCTCAGGTTAGCCGACAATGTGAGACTGAGCAGCCACAGAGAGGTGCTCTTGAGAAGTTGAGCGTCAGACATTCTAATGGAGGGCAGGGAAGGATCTCTGTGGTGATTAATAGAGAGCAATTTTGTTTTTGAGGCATTAAAGTTAACCAGCCAATTCCTGCCCCAGTTCACAACCGATTGGAGGTCCTTTTCAAGACAAACAGCCAGGTTAGTTTTGTCAGCGACACTAGATTTGTTTTTGAGGCAGGAGTAAATTGTAGTGTCATCCGCGTAGATGCCTACTTGGGAATCTATGGCATCAGGAAGATCATTGATGAAGATAAGGAACAGAGTAGGGCCTAGGATGGAGCCTTGGGGAACACCTGCACTCGTGGGATAGGAGCTGGAGGAGAATCTGTTGAGAATGACCTTCAATTCACGGTTTGACAGGAATGATTGTATTAAGTCAAACAATCAACCTGTGATAACATAACCCTAGAGCTTGCGAAGAAGGCCAGAATGCCAAACCCTATCAAACACTTTGGAGATGTCTAGAGCCATGGCATGAGCTTCTCCGTTATTTTGAAGAGCTTGGTAGACAATTTCAGTGATGGCCGTAAGCATATCAGCTGTAGATCGGGCAAAGCGGAAACCATATTGCTTGTTTGAGAGCCGATCATGGGATGTAAGGTGGTTAACCACTTTGGTATTGATTAAAGCTTCAAAGACTTTACTGAAGAGGGGTAGGAGACTGATAGGATGGTAATTAGAAGGGTCAGGGGGTCGCCAGAGTTCTTAAAGACAGGAACAATCAATGAGGACTTCCAGCAGTCTGGAAAACAAGATTCCTTGAGGCAGTAGTTATATAATTTGGAGAGGGCAGGTGCCAGATCAGGCACACATTTCTTCAAGACAATGGCTGGTATCCCATTTTCACCACTAGCCTTGTGGGAGTCTAAATTAGAGATAATACCCAATACCAATGATGGGGTTATGTGCAACCCACTCAATAGGGCCTCAGTTCTAAGAAGGAAATCAGGTATGGGTACACCGGAAGAGTCGGGCATTGAGTTGAATGAAAATTTCCGAGAAAAGCATTCAGCCTTGTCGGCAGAGGAGGTCAGGGCCTCAAACTGGTTGAATAAAGGAGGTATAGAGGGTTTGCTATTGTTAAGTACGCTCTTGCAGAGATGCCAATAATCCTTGAAGCTGAATTTGAGAGCAGCAAATAGTGACTTAGCTTTGTTGAGGACACGCTTACACTCATTACGGGCAGAGGCAAAGAGACGTCTATTGCAGCAAGCAGCAGAGAACCAAGGAGAGGAGGGCGATTTGACCTTATATTTCCTTGAGGGGATGAAAGCGTTGATTCCAGCCTTTAACCCAGGAGGAGACCTCAGAAGCACATTCTTGAACGGGGAGCGTAAAGACAACATTCCAGGGGACATTGCGGAGGAAATCACAGAACAAGTCCCAGTTCATAGCAGAACAAGGTTCTAGGGGTAGGAGGTTCTTTGCAGGGGGTATAAAATATATATTTTCTGTTTATATGCTATTTTATAGATATAATTTATTTAAGTAAATGCTATGTTTTTTAATTAAACAGTATTAATTACATCTACTGGTCTGAATGTTCAAGAAATTTTGTAGAAAATATGCGCTTCTTCAACATTTTCTATAAGATTTCTCGAACATTCAGACCAGTAAATGTAATTAATACTGTTCAATTAAAAAACAGAGCATTTACTTAAATAGATTATATCTATAAAAATAATGCATAAACAGAAAATATATTAAATAATTGTCAGACTTAATCCATTATATATATATATATATATATATATATATATATATATATTTAAAAATTATAACATAAATGTTATAAAATCACTACAAAAATAGCCATTTTGTTTCAACACCTCCAGTGTCTTATCAAGTGATGATGTTGAATGTAAAATAAATGGTTTTAAAAGTTTCAAATTAATTAACAATCCTTCGCAAGGGGAAAATACTGTTACAAAAGTTAGAATGACCAATCAAAACACAAGTATAGGAAAATTAAAAAAACTTGACAATGAAGTAAGGTTATAATAGCTATTCAGATCTTTAAAATAGGGGTTATATTAAAAAAGAATTTATTCTAACTAATAAGTATTAAATTATATGATAAAATTTGATATTAAAATTAAAAGTAAAAAATTACCAATTTTAAAATCTAAATTTAATCTCTATTAAGTTTAAAATTATAAAATTACTTGGGTGTGTGTGTATATATATATATATATATATATGACACTGTATATTTACATTTCACATTTGAAGATTATGTAAGCTTTGTAAACTTTTAAAATATCTGTACATTTCTTTTGTGAAAAGCAGATCATCAAAATGTGAAATGGATTTTTTATTCCATATATAAAATGCAGTTTTCGCCTTCTACCTAAAGCAAGACCTTTTTATGGGCTGCTGTTGTCAAAAGCAACATAAATAATACCTGACATAATCAATTTTATTAAATTAACAAGTGAGTTAATTTTACTAATCACTAACAAAAATCAATACAGATAAACTATTGATTTTCTGACATCCCCCAATTCCAGAATTATGTTTGATTCGCCATTTTGCCAGACCAACATATATCACATAATAATTCAGCAATACATCTTTCACCTACCAGTTGTGTACATCTTGTATGCTTAAAATATTAAGACTGTTAAAAACTTGAGTTAAACAAATATTAAATAAATAAATGAAAAAGATTAAATGCAAGAAGAGTGAGAAATTTGAATGTCTGCTCATAATTTGAGAGCAGAAAAAAAATTTTCAGATGTGTAAAATTGACTTTCTTAAGAAAGTGCACAGTCTCCATTTTTAATTTTAAATATACAATATTTCAAGAGAATAAAAGCAATTATGGAAAATTTTCTTTTCTTACAAATTTGTTGTGTCTTGATAAATCTTTTCTGTCTGAATTTCTCAAACACATACTTATTACTTACATTATTTACGTTCAGACTATTGTCATCATCTTTGTTGTTTTTATCACAATGTTTCGGCTGTTGTGCTCTCCAGCCTTCCTCGGGTGTATATCAATCTGGGTAACCTACAAAAATTCTGAACCAAACCCTTTATTTCATCTACAGGGGTAGACTGTTTTCATTCCACTGCTCATGTCTAGGTATATTGTCTAGTTCTGATTTTTATTTAGTGAATGAAATAATATAAAATTAGACAACAACAACAACAGAAAAAAAATTGAATAATTTTTTTTTTTTTAGCGTTTTACCCCAAGCAAGGCGGGAAGCCACTAGGACACAAGGGGTTACAGAAAATTTGGAGCAAGATCAGATAAGACTGATAGAAGAAAGGATGAGGAGAAGGGTAGTGGATAGATCAAGGCAACTGGAGATGTTGATTGGCATTACATTTGAATAGCTGGAGATTATAGCTCTCAGGGAAACTAGAATAGAGAAGGGAGTTCCACAGGCGAGAGGTGCGAGATATGAAGCTATCAGAGTAGAAGAGACGGCTACATTTAGGAGTTTCGACAGTGAAGGGGTGAGAGCGGGATGCCAGCCTCGTCGGGCGCTTGAACTCATGAAGTCTGGGAAATGTGATTTGTAATTAATTAATTCAGGTTTTTTTATGTATTGTTTCAGGAGAGCTGTCGTTTTGTGGACAATGCAACTCAAGTGATTCTTTCCTTAGGAAAGTGCATAAAGTACTTCTCTAATAAAGAAGAGTTCCAAAGAGAATGGGAAAAATTAAAACCTCTTCACTGTCCCTACCTTAATGATAAAAGCATCTCTAAAGTGCATCACTTTGAAGTAAGTTGATTTTTGTATTATATGGACATTGCATTCAAATTAATCTTCCACCTGGAGTTTAAACACTTGCAATTGCATGATGATAAAAATACTTTAATTTCACTATTAGTTGATTCCAATTAAGATATTCTCTCAACCTAGACATGTCAGAATTGTCTTTGTGCAGTAAATTCTTTTTAGGATTTAGAATTTATTTTTAAATTGTTATCTTCATATCTGATTTACAATAAACCCAGAGGATAGTTTCTCACATTTGAAATAAGGTTAAAAAAAATGAAATAACATTTTCCCAAACATACATGACTAATTGATTGATTGATTGTTTTCTCTAGCTTATCAACTCATAAGTATTTTATTTTTAGATAGTAAAATTTTTTTAAAGATAATAATGGTTTTAGTGATACAAATCTTACTAATTAATCCATATCTGTGGGGAAGAAGTGCTAGATTCATACCTTTCCCAAGGGTATTTGTGTGTAAGTGAATATAACAAACTCAACAGGAATTGGAACATGGCTCTCTGAGTAATAATTCTAAGCTATTACACATTGCAGCACCTGGTGTTCCCAAGTGGTCATCCATCAAGGTACTGATCAAGCTCAACATTGCTTAACTTCAGTGATCATACAGGAACTGGTGTTTCAACATGATGTGGCTATTAACTCACCAAATATATAGTTAGGTAAATCAATCAGTCAGTCAGTTATATGCCATGCATGATACATGTTTAGGTGATCATGTATCTTTTGATACATGACTGACGAAGCAGATTTTTTTCCCAGCAGTAGGTTGCCAGTTCTTTCTGCAGTAGACCAGTTGCCGTCCAAGGGTATAGAACCCAGTCTGTCCTGCTGTTTATCCATAGCTGAGGGGAGAAGAAGAGGATTCATACCTTTCCCAAGGGTATTAGCACATAAGTGAATGTAATGGATTCAACAGTAATTTGGATTCAGCTCTCTGATTCCTCAATCCGAGTCGCTATCCATTACTCCTCCGTGCCTCCTCCTAGGTAAATAGATAAAGAATTATAAATACAATGATTGCATACCGAGCATTTGTACTTATACATGATGGTAGAAATTGTATTAGGTATATGCAAAAGTTTCCAGCAGCTTAGTTATATAAAGAAAATATTTTCTGCTGTGTATTTCCATCTCTAGTTTTCAAAAATACATGTGCTGTGAACTTTTACACATATTTAAAAGCAAAATTAAAATCAATCAGTTACATTATATCTCAAACTAGCAGTAGAGCCCGGCGTTGCCTGGGGATGTAACAGTAAAAGATAGATCAAGTATCAACCATCATAAAGACTGAAAAATAAAATTGACAATGATTGTTGTTTAAGGTTGACGGACACGCATGTCTTAATTAGTTTGTTTTTGTTTTTTTTATGAATTGGTCAAACCCAAATTCAAACAAAAACATTGTTTTCAATCGTTATGAGTCTATCGATTGAATAGAATTTTATTATAAACAATTGCCATGTAAATGGAATTTTTAAAGCATTCAGAATGTAAAAATAAAGAAAAAAGTGTGCAAGACAATAAGAAACACTACCTGCCAAAAAAAAGTGATGTTTTGTTGAAATCGGTTGAAAAATGTAGGAAATCCGATCCCATATATAAGTGAACACACACAAACCACCTGGGTTTTACAATAAGTATGACTCGATATGAGTTGTCCCCCTTTCATTCTGGTGCCAGAATTGTGTTTCATTGTGTTTTCAAATTGATTTTGTGCAAAAACAATTGTGTTTTTCCAATTTTTGGCACTGTCAGAACCACTGCAAGGTAATTTTACGTAGTCCTGTGAAGTTTTGTTGAAATCGGTTGAAAAATGTAGGAAATCCGATCCAATATATAAACGTACACACACACAACCTGGGTTTTATAAGTATGATGATATACATGATTGTATGACTGATGACCGACTGTCACTAATATTTCGAAGTACATGATTAGACGAAGACAAAATTGCTTTCTGAATAGTAATCCAATAAGATCCAAACAAAAAGCACATTCTCCTTCTTTTATTTCTTTTGTTAAAGGTTTTCAATGAAGCTCTCTACTCGGCTTTGTCCAAAGTTGCTTCTTTCAAACAAGATGTGATTTTTGCATTGAGAGTAATGACATTTGATGCAACTTCTAAAAATGTGGGACAACAGGAACAAGAACAGGAACTGTCACGAAGCAGGCCAAGTAAGCTTGTTTTTTTTCTTGTTTATAATTTCTTTTTTTTTTTTAAGCGTTTCACCCCAAGCAAGGCAGGAAGCCACTAGGACACAAGAGGTTACAGAAAATTTGGAGCAAGATCAGATAGGAGTGATAGAAGAAAGGATGAGGAGAAGGGTAGTGGATAGATCAAGGCAACTGGAGATGTCGATTGACATTACATTTGAATAGTTGGAGATTATAGCTCTCAGGGAAACTGGAATAGGGAAGGGAGTTCCACAGGCGAGAGGTGCAAGACATGAAGTTATTGGAGTAGAAGAGATGGCTACATTTAGGAGTTTCGACAGTGAAGGGGTGAGAGCGGGATGCCAGCCTCGTAGGGCGCTCCTCGGAGCAATTGCCATGAAAGTATTTGTAAAACAGACAGAGAGAGGCGACGGAGCGTCTGTGAGAAAGTGACTGTAGACGAGATGCCAGATCAGGGCCAATTATATTGCATATCTGCCTCGGGAGCCTATCAAGAATCCTGAGGCAAAAAGAAGGGGCTCCAGACCATATATGGCAGCAATATTCCATGCAAGGGCGAATTGTTGATTTGTATTTTCACCAGTTTGTGTTGACCTCACTTTATTTTGTTAAAAATTAATTGAAAATGCTACGAAACTATTTTACTTGTATTTTTATTGAACATTAATAAGTGGGTAATGTTTTGTAATACCAAGCATTCATTAGAAATGTCATATTAAATGTATGGTGGCAGAACAAAGAAGAAACAATGAAAGTTTAAAGAAATAAACAATTGTATTAACGTAAAATACAATAAATGATAAATCAGTGTAGATCACTCTCATTGAAAAAAAAAAGATAAGTGGAGTTGTAAAAGGCGTCTGCTGAGGAGTACAGAAGAAGAGGAAGGATAAATTGTGACTTACTGGAGCAACAGCCTATGGTGAGCTGTCTCTTGGAGATGGGAGGTTGCTTTCCAACAAAGTCTGTGAACCCAGGCCAAGATGCTGGCCAACTGTCGAAAATGTCCTTTTGATGGGCTTTTATGTCCTTTCTTCGGCTCAAATCAACTGTAGTTTTTATTTTGTTTTGTTAGGTGGGAGTGGGTGCTATTGGGTTGAAATTCTAGATTTTTTTTTTGAGTATGTGAGTAAAAACACACTCAATGTCAGATATGTGCAGAGCCTTGCACAGTTGACAGAATTTTAGTTCAGTTTTGTATGTTTGGAGTATTCACATCCAGCCAGTGGTGGAAATTAATGTACCATGAATCAGAAGATGATCTAATTTTAGGAAGAATGTAACAGAAGTAATAAAAGACAACTGCTTTTTAACCTTGAAGGTGACTAAATTCCTAAAATAATACTTACATGTTGATTCCCCAAAAAAATGAAAATTTGATGCTTTTAATAAAGTTTCTTTGATAAATGACAATTCTTTCTGTCAAAGATCACTTTATATCTTTACACAACATCTGTCTGGTTAGTTGGTTATTTGTGCTTAGCAGCATATCAATCTGTTGGTTATTTAATGCCAAAATCTAAATATTTAGTATACAATATTATTTTTTCTTTTGGAAATAATAATGGTTTTAGTGATACAGATCTAACTAATTAACTAGTAGCTGAGAGGAAAAGAGGTGAATTTTTTACGTTTCCCAACCTAACTGAAATTGGAACTCAGCTCTCCATTATCCATTACACAACCCACACATCTAAGCTTACAGCACCTGGTATTCCCAAATGGTCACCCATCTAAGTATTGACCAGGCTCAATGTTGCTTAACTTTGGTGATTGTATGGGAACCAGTGTTTCAATATTATGTGGCTGTAAGTATTAGTTCTGTTTGGAAATGATCACACAATTTAGTGGGCGTCTACTTGTTCCTGCTAAACAATCTTGTCAAACCCTGTTCTGATGTTTATACTGCAACTATGCTGAACAGACCTTAGTTACAGTGCATAAGTTGATATTGTGTTATAGTAACAAAAATGTAGTGCAATGATGGTTTAGTCAACATCAAAGTACTTTCATATTATTTGAATACCCCCTCCATTTTTGAAAAACATTCTGCTAAGTCCTCTTTTGGGATTGCCATCAGCTGCTTTATCATGCTATCTTTAATCTTAAACACAGTCTGAAACCTCCTTTGAGTGGGTGATTTTAGCAAAGCCAAATCTGAACTGTGGCAGGATTAAAGGACATTGGTGATACAATGTTTTGCCAAAACTGGCTTGGTCATTGTGAATGCAAAGATCACATAGTACACAACCACCCACCAACTAAGTAACCCTATAGGAGATTGCCTGTTTAAACATGCACAGTAAGGTCTCCTCTGATTTGTCATCAAATTATATCAAGGTTGCACAAGTAGATCCCGACCAGTACAATTTTAACCTCTTAAAGTCTAGGAGCAACCATTAGCCATCTTACATATCCTCATAATATGCACATCTTCCTCTTCTCTTTATGCCCTTACAATAATCTCATTCACTAACCCCCTACCTTGAGTGGCTCTTGAACTTGGTACTGTGTGAACAATAGCACCCTGACCAGCTCCCTCCATATGTTTTGGTTGCGTGCTAATAAGTCTCTCTCTTCCAATCTACTCAGTAACATCAGGTAATTTTTCAAGGTAGGTTGGTCTTTCCAACTTTGAAGATTGATGCAATGTGATCTTTATAGTTAGGTTAGTATTTATCAATCCACCCACGAGGATAGAATGTGGCACAAGGCCGGTTTAATGTGGGTATCCCCGAGCCTGTAGGCTCGGCCAAAAAGTATAGCCTTTAAACCTGCCTAGACGGGTTCAGGCCCTGTCTACCTCCCCGAACGAAACCTTGCCCTTTGGCAAAGCTTCGTCCGGGTTCCTCTCTGCTAATGCAGAGTGTTTGACAGACGCCAACTCGGAAGCTCACAAAGGCAGCATACTACACTTTGATCATTGCCCCTGGGCCGAGCACTTATAGTTATAGTTAGGTTTCACACAACTTGGTCTTGTTCCATGCTATGTTAAACTCAGTAAATATCAGAGTTGCCAAAGCTTGATTGCTGGCAAGTTCATCTGGAAGTCTAATTCACCACTACTGTAGTGTGTTCACTTTTCACAGATAGTATTTAAGATTAGTATATATCTAGATGGTGTGTGAACAATTCTTATATAATACATATTATTAAAGAAACAAGAGCGGTTTACATAATATTCAGTTAATGACTATAAAGTAATAACTTATTCATCTTAAATTCATGTGTTTTCTTTTTGGTTCTGTTTAAGCCACAGCAACCGGCAGCATCAGTGGAACTGGACAAGGTAATTTTTTTCTAAATTTTAAATGATGCATTTATTCTCTTTTGATTGATGTTTTAGAGACTGTGTATTTTTGCCAAATGATTCTGACAGAGTTATCTTTGCATAGTTTAGATTCAAAGTGCACTATTCATTTTCATGTATATCAATACCATACCCACATAATTACAAAGAGCTGTACAAAATAACAAAAGCCACCATCACTTGAGGACTTTCAACAACGGCAACTACTAAAATGGATATCACATGTAACTCAAAGAGAGAATTATGATATCAAGATGCTGACATTCCACACTACTTCAAACAAAAGAGTAGAAAGGAAGCAACCATCAACAGTGGAAAGAGACAACTGCTACTGAACTTGAGAAACCTAGTTTTCTGAAATTGTTTTAAGGGGAAGATTTTATAAATTTCAATCAAAAGCAGACTTGACTGCTCAGGCAATGAATGCTGAATGTTTCATTATAAGAAAATGGATAATATTACTATTTTCATTGGCATGTGACAGGGCATATGACAATATTTTAGAAGTTTTACTAACCATAATGATATCATTTTAGAAACTAAGAAAACAAAACCTGAAGGAAGGTGTTGTAACATGAACAAGTTTACAATGGATCAACTTGTTGTGCAAGGGACTATTTTTTCACTAAAGCTCTAAAAACACACTATCAAAGACTGAACCAAACTTTTATATGAATAGCATGGAGAGAATTGAATATGATTAGCTGACCAAAGTTAACATCTTCTCATGGCTTTTTATATTGATAAACTGGTTCCAATGAATTCCACCCCAAATTAGTCACATTACATAACTTTTCAGCTCATTTTCAAATATGCTTTTGGTCAGCATCAACTAATTCTCTTAACCAATCATGTAAGTGATAGATATTAACATTATAAATCTAGTTTGGTTAGCCAAAGAAGTAATAACAATCATAGTGACTTCATTTTACAGACTGAGAATTGTTTATCCCAAATTCTTGGAACCGGAAGCACTTCAGTTTTCAGATATTTTTTTGATTTAGGAATACAGGCTATTTAATTTGTATCTATCATCTATAAAATGGGGCAGCTTGAGAATGGAACCCAAGCATAAACATGATATCTCTTTACATTTAATAATGCAGCTCATGCATATACCCTGAAAGTAGTTTTATATAAAATTTAATAAATGTAATACTCACACAGATCTTTAATTGGCAAAATTAAGATTTCACGTAAAAATAATGTTTTGTGCTTTCTGTACATGTACAAAAAAACATGATCACTACTTACAAAAAATATATAGATGCAGGACTTTTTGACATTTTGAATAATATCTTTACTGAGCATGAAACACCTGTGTTGCTGTGATGATCACTAACAAAAAAACTGGCACCAACACAAGCAACATAGCTGGGCTTTCTGAAATTTTCTATTTGTGGTAAGTCATGTCAGGCCTTGAAAAACTTTCAGATTTTGGATAAAAGATACTCAACCTGTGAAGCAGCTTACAGGAAATTTCTAACTAGTTATATTGGCGCCTTCTAACGGTTCTTAAAATATGTAAGAGATGCTTAATTCAAAAAATCATGGTATCACATGTTATCTATGGCAAATGTTGTATCCTTAAAGTGGTTACAAACAGACAAAGGTGGTACTTGAGTGAAAGGAACAGCAACAGAGGCATATATGAAAGAAAGAGAGGTTTATTGTAAAAGAAAATACACTACTGAAAGACAGGGAATCAGTTAGCAAGCTAGTAATTCCCGAATCAAGTTCATCAGGTATATCCTGTGTGCAATATATATATATATATATATATATATATATATATATATATATATACTGATATAGTCAGTCCACAATAGGTGATAAGGAGAGTGGGACATTCCATTACAACAACAAATATCACTATAAAAGCTAATCACCTGGATATTTCAATTATTACTTATAAAGTAATCAAGTCAACTGTTAATGAAAAAAAGCATTCATACAAGAAAAATTTAGCAATCTCCTTTCAATGCTTTTCCATTAGTTACATAGATCAAACATTATACAGTGAAAATTTCAGATCAAAATACAGTTAAGGACTGTGTCAAACTACAGACTTATTGATCCTTCCTCATAGAGAATCCATCTACTTCCATTTAATCAGTTATATAATGCTTTTTTTTATTGATTCATTTTCTACAGTTTATCAACCCCTTGCAGCTTATTTAAAATATTTTTACATTGTAAGAATTTGGGGGTGGGGAAGGAGATAATAATAATTTAGTGATACAAATCTTACTACTTAAACCATAGCTGGGGGCAGAAGAGGTGTATTTATTCACGTAAGTGAATATAATGAACCCAACTGAAATTGGAACTCGGCTCTCCAATTAAAAATTCCATGCCATTATTCATTACACAACCCACACATCCAAGCTTACAGCACCTGGTATTTCCAAGTGGTCACCCATCTAGGTACTGACCAGGTTCAATGTTGCTTAACTTCAGTGATCATACAGGAACTGGTGTTCCAATGTGATATGGCTATAAGCTCAGTTATGTAAGATCTTAAGTTATAGTTTTTTTTTATAAGCCATAAAAATTTGAAAATATAAAACTATTAAAAAAATCAGAGCATTCCAAATCATTCTAAAAATAAATTCCTTTAAGTTTTAAGGAAAGTAGGAACTACCATATATGCTCAAGTATAGGACAAATTATTATGATCTGTTTTTTTTGTTTTTTTTACACAAATAATAGCAGGTCACACCATACACAGGTAATTTTTTTGAAGCGGATAAAATCATGCATTTTCTGTGACCAGTTGCAGTATACACAAGTAATTTTTTCTAGAGGGGGTTAAAATTAATGCACTTGCAATGATCATAACTTGCTTGGTAAACCTACATTCTCACAGTATCTTTGGCTAACCTTAACTACCATAGTCGGGCATGAACAAAAACATAAGTACAGTATCAAAATCTTTGTATCAGATATTTTACAGTAACTTTTTTCCTCACCATTTTGGGATAGCTTTCTACAAAAAAGAATGAAGACCATTTATTTACTATAAAATATATCCAGAATACAGGCTATTTTTTTGTATATAGCATCAGGATATAGCTTTATATATATATGATATATTATTTAGGATATATCAGGATAGCTTTCTACAAAAAAAAAAAATGAAGATCATTTATTTACTATAAAATATATCCAGAATAATGCCCAGCATGGGAATATTTGACTACAGTAGGCTTAATAATATTATATATGAGCTATATGAAAAAAAAATCAGGGGTTTGCACTATACATAAAGTAGATGCATACACGAGTATATTTGATAAAAGGAAACTTATACTTATAATCAGAAAGAGACAGTTGAAATTTCTGCAACATATAATGAGAAAGGAGTGCTTAGAGCATTTAACACTCACAGGACATATTGAAGGCAAGGAGGGCAGAGCGAAATATCAAGTAACCAACCTAATGAACTGGTGTAAATGAAGAGCTGAGCAGGGACTAGGAGTAATAGTAAGGGAACAAACATTGCTTAGGGCTACAAGGGACAGGAAGCTGTGTAGAGCAATGAACGCCCATATCTTGAATGGGCATGCTACGTAAAAGAAGATCATGATACACTCATTTGGAAAAGTCAGGACTACATAATATCATAATATTTAATATCATAAATTACATAATATCATAATATTCATAAGACTACATAATATTTATATGTTCAAATTCCAGTCAAATCTGTTACATTCACTTACATGTTAATACCCTTGAGAAAGGTATGAATCTTCTTTTTCTCCCCACAGTTATAAGTAAATAGCAAAACAGACTGGGTTCTATAGCCTTGGATGGCAACTGGCCTAGGAGAAGGAAAACTCTGAATTCAAAACCTGCGGAGGGTCGTTTGGGAACCTTGTGACACATAGTGCACCAGGTCTCTGTATTCGACTCTTCAAAAAGTGTGGTTGGTTCTGCACAAAACCTTCACCACTCTAATCAAATAATATGTGCAGGGTGTCTGGCTGTCTAGGAACTGAGCAGCCTGAACCCTCATACATCGTAAAAGGATCCCCGGTAGGTGCAGGTCAACAGCCTGCATGGATCAACAATGGGAGAGTTCACAACATAATATCATAATATCCATAAGATTTAATTAATAAGATTATATAATATCATATTTAATTCTCAAAAGGTCAAGATTACATAATATAATACTTTGTGATTTATTCACTATTAATTTCTGTTTATTAAAGTTTTCTTAGATCAACTATTTTTTATTTCTTTAAGCAGAATGTGAAAAGCTCGAGAGAAAATATTCAACAGAGTATGTAATATTTTTAATTTATTCTAATTTATCTTAGAATTTATCAAATTTTGTTCAGACAATTTAATGTGTCTTATTCCTGTTGTTATTTTAATGTTTCAGCCTATTTATTCTTCAGCCTTCAAGTATAGAAGCTGTTATGCTAGGCTAGTGTAGATTTCAGCACTGTGTTTTAGGGAACTCTCCAAGAGATGTACATTGAGTGGTAACCTTTATTGATCTGGTAAAATGGATGCTCGAATACACTTCTTGAAACAAGTCTCTTAGGAACTCAGTATTGTATCTGTATTTATTTTATATTCATTCCTTTTCACTTGATTTAACTATGCATAACATCACAGGTAAAATTGCTGGATATTACTATTGATTTTTAGATTTATTTCTGTAGTGACTGTTTTTGTTATTTATCTATCTACCTACCTACCTAGTGTCTCATGGTACATAAAGCTTCCATGGAACATTCCCACTCTGCCCTGTCTGCAGCTGTCACTCACACTTCATCTTAATATCACCGTAAACAATGTTGTGCTATGAATTAAATAGGAAGCATTTCTGTAATGGATTTTTTCTCTTTAATAAAACTAAATTTCATGATATACTGATATAGTGCTTGACCATATATGGCAACAATATTCTAAGCATGGACGAATCACAGACTTGTAAATATGATATATTCAAGAGAGAAAAATTGTCTAGCATGACACAGTGAACCAACTTTCTTAGAAGCTGACCTAGCAATAGATTAAATGTATAATTGTCTATATGGAAGAAGATAATATAAAAATTTTCATATACCAAAACAATGTTAGGAGAATTAACAACAAAGTGGAAAAATTTCTGTGCATGTGTATTTACATCTTTAGTCCAATGAAATACTAAAGCATAAAATGTGTTATACAAAAATTTTTTTCCACTATCATTAATTTTCCTAATTATACACACACACATATGTATATATAGAGAAAGAGAGAGACAGACAGAGATAGCCTGAAGATTGCATTTAAGCATGAAGCAGACTGTCACCTCAGTGTCCACTTACATATTTTTATATGTAAATACACTATCTCTGATACTGAGTACTTTTACCCATAAATATAGCATATCTTTATATATATATGTATGTATGTATGTATTATATACACACACTTTGTTTTAAGATATTACATCAAAAACATGTAAAAAAAAAAAAAACAAACACACACTTTTTGCTGATGCTTCTAAACCAGTTAATGACCTCTGTGGTACCAATCCAATGAATAAGCCCAAGATATTTTTTTTTATCCGTTTGTTGACACGTTCAAGGATAACTTTGCTTATCCCTCCAAGTTCTGATCTTGTAAGGTTTATGATCCTTGTAGGAAGTTTGTTCTGAAAATCTAGTTTATGGTCTTTAAGTATGAAATAAGATTCTTTAGTGCAAAGTTTTCCAACCCTATTGCTGATTTTTTGTTTATCAGCAATATTCCTAGAAGTCGTGTTGATTTGATCAACACAATTAAAATTGTTATCCGTCTTCTTGTAATTCTTAGTTAAATTGTTTCCTTGGGATTAAATTTATAAAAATTAGTGATTTTATTGGATTTCACAAATATTTGGTTGGATTTATTAATATCCTTAACAACAGCATCTAAACGCTTCTGAAACTGGTTCCTGTATATGGAAAGTGATGTCATTTATAATGTTTAGAAGATCCATTTCAAAACCGTGTAAGTATTCTATGAGAGGTGCAGTTTTTAAATTTCTAAATCTGTAAGAATCCATTGTATTTGAAACATCTCAATTTAGAAGGAAAAAGTAGGCTTTCCATCTCATTCTTCTAATCAAGTCCTCAGTCTTTAAAACCAGTTTTTCAAAATATTCCCATTTGTTTCTGATGGGAATGTTTTTTAATGAAATTCTGAAATCAATTTTTTCCATGTTACAGTATTAAAATAAATGTAAACAGTGCTCTATCTTAGGGGAGCAATATTTACATGTAAAATGAGAATGAATAGAGTCCAATTCCGATGTTCATAACATTCATTTTAAAAGAGGGCTCAATACAAACATGTTTTTTCTGTAATATCCTAAAATAAAGAATATTGCTCTACTTTGTATTGAGCCCTCTTTTAAATTGAATGTTATGAACATCGAATTGGACTCTGTTAGTTCTCATTTTACAAGTGTGTGTGTGTGTGTGTGTGTATATATATATATATATATATATATATATATAATGCATTTATGCAGAAATTTCTCATTTATACACATTTAGTTAAAGATCAACAAAAGAGAAGGAGATTTGTTTTTTAATTTCTTTGTTGGATTGTACCATTTTCCTGTTTTTTTTTCTCTTTGATAAATCTAAATTCCATGATTCTAACTGCCTTCATTCTATTTTTGTTCTTTTTGATAAATCTAAATTCTATGGTTCTAACTACTTTTTTTCCATCTGTTTTCTTTGATGATACAGGGAAATACCAGTAGAAGATCACATTGCAGCTGTAAAATTGCAAAAATGTTGGCGTGGAGGGTTTGTACGAAAGATCAGAAATGCAAGAAAGCATGGTAAAATTTTCCACTTATTTAATCACAAAAATCCACCTCATAACTAATTGATAATAAACACCTTATGGAACATTTTGACAAACATTGTTAATCATTCATTATTGGCTGATCCATGAAATGTTGATTATGTCTAAAAATTAACATCTAATTGCAATGTAGATGTTGTTTACAATTATGTATACAAATATAAATAATTTTGAGCTCTGAAAGTTGCATTTAAGCCCAATCCACACAATCTCATCAAACATAAGATTGCTTTTTTTTTAAAACGTTTTTATTCAAGCTGAGATCTTTTCTATACCCATATATCACTTATATAAACCCAAGAAAAACTGAATAAAAACTTAATACCTTGTCAGTCACCTTCAATGAAACTTTATATATATAAAGTTTCATTAAAGGTGACTTACAATATATATATAATGATGATTGCACCTAGCATGAAACAGCCTGTCGCCTCTGAGTGTTTACTTCAATGTTCACTTTATATATATATATTTATATATATATATATATATATATATATATAACATACATACATACATACAGATATTTATGTATGTGTATTTATCTCTGTATCTATAAAAAGAATACCCGCTCGGCCCGGTGGCTAGGATCAAAGTGTAGTATCTGCGCTTTGTGAGCTGCCGGGTCGGTGTCTGTCGAACTCTCTGCTTGCAGAGAGGAACCCGACACAGTTCCGCCCAAGGGTAGGGTTTCATTGGGGGAGGTTGATTTGAACTGGCTTTCGCCTCGGCGGTTTGGATGGTTATTTATTTTTGGCTGGGCCTACGGGCTCAGAGATACCCACATTAAAAAGGCCTTGTGCCACATTCGATCCCCGTGGGTGGATTGATAAATACCATCTCTGTATCTCTGTATATAATGACTCTAAGATTGTAAGACTGTTGCCACTTTGTACTGACTTAAGTGTCTACATATTTACATTAGTGTTTAATATTTTTGTTGCAAATTCCCAGGAACAAAAAAATATGTATAAATTCACTTTTATCATATATTTAGGTTTTGTTACAATTCTAATCATTGCTATTTAAAGCAATAAATGTTGCCAAGGAGTGAAGTTAGTTAAAATAATAGTGGTGTCAAGGGAAAAACTGTCATTTTTGACACGCTGTCTTTTGCTTTTTGTTTGGATTGGACTATTTCATGGTTCTGGGCAGAGTTTGAACATAAATTGGCCAATGCTTCCTGAGTACTTTTGGTTTTCATAAGCCCTTAGCAAAGAATATTTTGTGCATTAATTAGGCTATAACTATAGGCATGCATCGCCGTTCTTTGGTGGTTTTCCAGTATTAATTCACACATCAACTAGTGAGTTCTTGTCATTTTTTAGGTTGTAAAATATATTTAATATATTTGTTTCTAAACTGAATGAAATTTTTATTAATTTTGGGTTATTTTGGCTATGAATATTTGTAATTATTTTTTACTGTTTACAGTATTATGGATAAATATTTGTCAGCTTTATTGTTGATATGCAATTTAATGAAACTATTATGAAATAAATGGCAAGTTAATCAACAGGATAACAGTGATCGTATCATATATATATATATATATATATATATATATATATATATATATGTGTGTGTGTGTGTGTAAAATGTGCATGTATATAAATATATATATATATATACAACTTTTATATATCATATATGCATGGTGCTTATTGGAAAGAGCTCAATATCAGTGATAGAGCTAACATATTTAATTGGATTAATGTGAGTTTGTCACCCTGGCTCATAAACTCACATGGATGCAACTAAATATATATATATATATATATATACAAAGACACACACACAAATTAGTAAGAATAAAAGCTAAACCTTAAAATATAAAATAAATTGAGCACTCAATACCAAAGTCAACAGATCCTATAAATAATATTATAATATCAATTAAACAATGCCAAAAGCCTCAACTCAGACTTTCATTTAACAATGATCATCAAAATGATGATTGTTCTTGCATGAAACTCTGAATTGTGGCTTTTGCTATCATTGAATTGATATTATATATATATATATATATAAGCCCATCTACAGGGATTTTTCCTTTTACCCCTGTGAGGGTGCAGTTATCCATGGGTTCTTAAATTATTTTTTTGTGTTTTTTTTCTCTTGTGATGCATTAAGATATGCAGCATGAAACTTGGGTTACAAGAAGGTCCTCCTTTTATAGGAATTAACATTGTCAAGTTTTTTTTTTTTTTTTTTTTGCTCCATCTAGTTAATCTAGGCATTGAGCACTTTACTGAGTAAGTAGGTGTTTGCTTTAGGTCTTGTTCTTTTTTCTTACTTCTGTTCTAGTTCAAGATTTTATCTTGTTTAAGGTCATTTAGGTATTTTGGTAAGTTGTTCATTGGTTCCACCAAAAGTTTTGGTTTTTCTTTAATACACACACACACACAGGGAGGCTGTTGGAGACAATCCAGGTATCATCACATGTCAAGTGGCCCTAGAATGTCATACATCTCCTAATTCTGCTTCTGTATCTGTATCATTTGCAACATGTACAGGGTCTTTTGCCCTCTGATCACTCACCACGGGAGAACATTTGCCAATGATTTATTGCATAAAACTGCCAATCCATTGTTTGTCTCTTCAGCTTTGTTTACGGATGAGGCAACATTTGAAAAAGATGGAATGATAAATTTACACAACCAACATTTGTGGGGAAATCAGAACCCCCATGGTACAATACAAGCTAAGCCCCAACATCAGTTTATGATTAATGTATGAACTGGAATTATAGGTAACTGTCTTGTCTTGGTTCATGCATGATGGTACTCCAGCACATTTTAGTTACATTGTTCATGATGCACTGTCTGACAGCTACCATGAAAGATGGATAAATAGGGAAAAAACTGGTTCTATAGCCTGCACATTCCTTCTAACCTCAATCCTTTGGATTTTTATCTGTGGGGCTCCCAAAAACAATTGGTTTATGCAGTAGACATTAATAATGCAGAGATGTTTCATCAACTTGTCATGGGGGCCTGCATAACAATCCGATGGCCTTTTGTACATCTGCTTATATGGACATTTTATCTTGTTTTAGTGTCAGGAACATGACCCCAAAGTTTGTAAAAGTATTTTTGGATTGTATCTTGGATTGTACATTTAACAGCATTTCCAGTCAACTTTAAACTTAATAACTCAAAGACAAAGGATCTGAGGTCATATGTTTATATGAACTTTTGTCCTTATTTTGGTGTGAGGATAATACCCAAAAGTTTGTAAAAGTATTTTTGATACAACTTGTATGTGTGTGTGTATATATATATATAGCTAATATTAGGGGTAAATATACACATACATATGCAAAATATATAAATATATATACATAGGTGCATGCACATACATGTATATTCCAAGAGGATAGAATCCAGGTAGAACTCAATGTCCAGGACAAAGTAAGAATATAATAAAAAGGCTCAAACACTAATATTCCATGGTCATAATTTATTCCATTGAATTTGTAGGTCTGATGAATTGGATTGTATTTACGATTCCAATGGAATAAATTATGACCATGGAATATTAGTGTTTGAGCCTTTTTATTATATATATATATATATATATATATATATATATATATATATATTTATTTCGCTTGAGGATGAAATGGAACTAATGTCTTTTAATTTAATTACAAAATTAAATTTGGACCTTCCATTTTGAAACATGGTTAGAACTGTGTAAAGAAAAACCATATTTTAAATCAATTTATTTATAATAATAATGCTCTGTAAATTTACATTGAGCACTATTTTGTAAAAATAAAAATATCTATAAGAACACTGGATTATATATCTTACTGTTCTTTCTTTTTATTTATATATACATATATATATATATATATATATATATATATATAAAAAGGCCAACATATCTACAAACACATGTACACACACATTTAGAAAAATATTTTGCTTTACTTTTAAAAATAATTTATCCATTTTGTGGTGAAATGATTTATTTTTATTCTTTAATCTTTTACAATTTATATATTCAAGTAAAACTAGATATCAAATTTTTATTTTTATTTTTCTTTAAGGATCTGAAGAAAATCTGAAAGTATGGGACATTATGAAGAAATTTTGGGCACAGATAGAACTGAACATTGAAGAGATTGGTCTAGATTTGTTCAGGTATGTATATTTTTATATATTTATTAACAAATGAATAGGCAAACATATACATGCAATTTTTTCATAGATCTTATTCTGGAATCATGTAGGGATCATTCTAGCAATGTGATGTGTGGTTACTACCAATCATCTCAATCTGTAGTCCTTTCCAAAACCATGACATGGAGCAATTGTTTTTATATATATATATATATATTACAGACAGGATCATCGACCTTATTATAAGAATGAGGTGGAAAACCCATTTCGCCAGTAATCCCAAAAATGATCATGAACTGAATCCTGAAACATACAACCTGAGATCCCAAAATACTCCACCGTGCAACAAGCTACTTGGACCGTTCAAGAAGGATTTGATTGATCTAATTAAAAGGATTAAGTTCAAGAATTATCACAACTACTTCCAAACCAAAATTGGTAGAGACCTTAACAACATAATGAAATCTAATAAATTATGGATTAAAGCCGACAATTCCAAAAATTTCTATAAAATTAAACCTGCTGAATATGACAAAATCGTCACTGACAAAATTACTAGCTCTTATAAAAAAGACAAAGGCAATAACACCTTATCATCTATCAATGAAGACATCTGTAAATTTGCTAACAAATGTGGAGTTGCTGACAGAATGGGCAAATTTGGTATGAAAGATGCATACATTCTCTTCAAGGATCATAAGCCGAACTTTGTCAATAGCTTACAGTCCCGTCTAATTAATCCCTCCAAATCTGAGTTGGGATTAATTTCCAAGAGTATCTTAAAGGAAATAACATCTTGTGTCCTGAATAAATATCATGCTAACCTTTGGAAGGACTCGGCGGAGACGATTAAATGGTTCGAAATATCACTAACAAGAATAAAGCCACTTTCATCCAATTTGACATCTTGGATTTTTACCCTTCTATTTCGGAGGAACTATTAATTAATAGCCTCAATTTCGCCAAAGGATTTACCAAAATAACGGATATTGATCTGGACATTATTTTAGCGTCTAGAAGATCAATACTTACATAGAATGACGCTACTTGGGTAAAAAGAATAATGGTAATTTCGATGTACCTATGGGTGCCTTTGATTCTGCCCAAATTGCAGATCTGGTGGGCATATATATTCTTGACACCTTGAGTAGAATAGTTGACCTTAACCAAGTCGGAATTTATAGAGATGACGGCTTAATCATTGTCCCAAATAGCAATGGTCCCTTAACTTCCAGCTTACATAAGAAGATTATTAGGGCCTTCAAATACTTAGACCTTAAAATTGAAATATCTTCCAACCTGAAAATAGTCAACTTTTTAGATATTACACTCAATCTATCGAATAATATCTTTAAACCCTTCCATAAAGTTGATCAAACACCCCTATACATCAACGTCCACTCTAACCACCCTAAACATGTGATAGATCACATCCCCAAAACTGTGAATACGAGAATAAATAAGCTATCTTCTAGCCAGAAAATATTTAATGATAATAAATTTATATACAATCAGGCCTTAAAAAATAGTGGTTTTAGACAAGAATTAAGCTTTAATGGTGAACTTGTAAATCAGAATAAGGGCAAAACTAAGAACAGGAAAAGGAAGGTAATATGGTTCAACCCACCATATTGCAGACTCTCTAACATTGATATAGGAAGTTTCTTTCTGAAATTAATTGATAAACATTTCCACAGTAAGCATCCACTACGTAAAATTTTCAATAGGAAAACTCTAAAAATTAGTTACTCATGCGTTAGAAATATAGAGAAAATCATATCTTCCCATAATTGCAGAATACTTAGAAACTACCACGGTAATGGAACTCAATCTAGTAACCCTACCTGCAATTGTAGGAATAAAGACCATTGTCCAATCGGGGGTAAATGCAAATCTGAAAATGTAGTATACGAGGCAACTATCTTTCCCGAGGGAAATATAAACGAGAAAAAAAGATACATAGGTATATCCGCCGGTGATTGAAAGCAGCGTCTATACAACCATAGACGCTCATTTAGATATAGATGCCTCAGACTTCCTTATCCAAACACTACTGGGAACTGGTGGATACGGGATTAAACCCAATTTTGAAATGGAGATTCCTATCTAGAGCCAGAACACCTAATAACTTCCGCGATCGGTGTGATCTATGCATGGCGGAAAAAATCTTCATTATCAAAGATAAAAATTGAGATGAGCTGCTGAATCTTCGGAATGAGATATTCTCTAAATGTAGACATAAGAAACGTTTCAAAACTTGAACACCGTTGTGTAACATGTTGTCACTTATGTCGGCTCCATCTCGGTCCTATAACATCGGGCATGACATTTTAATTGTATGACTATTATGTTTATCTCTAAATGTACCTTTGTGCACGTTTATGTGATGCGCTATGTATTTATATATATATATGTTTGTGTATGTGTGTGCATGTATGTATATGTATGTGCATGTATGTATATGTATGTGTATGTATGTGCATGTATATATATGTATATATATATATATAAAAATTTTTATATTTTTTTTTTTTTCATACACGCGCAAATATTTGAATCGTCACTTATTTAGATTTTAACTTTTTTTATATATATATGTACATATGTGTATATCTCTGTGTGTGTGTATATGTGTGTATATTTGTATGTATATGTATGTATGTGTATATGTGTGTATGTATGTAAGTGTGTATATATGTACGTATGGAGGTGTTTATGTATGTATATGTATAGGTGTGTATGTGTACTTATGTGTATACATGTTTATGTGTGTGTGTGTATGTGTGTGTATGTGTATATATGCATGTGTAAGGGTGTGTATGTATTTGCATGTGTATGTATATACATGTGTAAGGGTGTGTATGTATTTGCATGTGTATGTGTATACATGTGTAAGGGTGTGTATGTATTTGCATGTGTATATGTATGTGTATATGTGTGTGTATATGTATGTATGTATGGGTATATGTGTGTGTATATATATATATGTATGTATATGTATATATATATGTATAGGTATATATATATATATGTATGTGTATGTATGTATATGTATGTATAAGTATGTATGTATGTATGAATGTATACATGGGGCATATGTATGCGTGTATATGTATGTGAAAAGTGTGTGTATATGAATATAGATGAATATGTGTGTGTGTGGATATGTGAATATATTTTTTAGGTTTTTATATATATATATATATATATATATATATATATATGTATGTGTGTATGTATGTGCATGTGTATGTACACGTATGTCTGGGTGTGTGTGTGTGAGTACATGCCTAAGTGTATGTACCTACTTGTATATGTTTTTTTTTGTGTGTATTAGTATGTGTTTTTGAACATAGAAATATTTGGTCCTTGAGAAATGAGACAATCGTTATATTCATCTTCATATATTTATATTTGATTCATACCATGGAATATTAGTGTTTAAGCCTTTTTTATTATATCCTTACTCTGTCCTAGACATTGAGTTCTACCTGGATCCTTCCTCTTGGAAAATTTTTTTCTGAAAATATACATGTATGGGAATTTTTTAGATATATTTTTCATATGTATGTATATTTTCCACTAATATTATCTATATATATATATATATATATATATATAACTGATTCCAATAATATTAGTCTGAAGAAGTTCTAAGTATGAAACAAGTCACTGGGTAACTGAATGACAAAATGGATTAACTCCAAGTAAGTTAAGGGGTCTATTCAGGGATATATATATTTCTGTTTCATATTGTGTATGAAATAAATTCTAAGTGCTCTTAAATATTAGGTTGGTGCAAAAATAATGACGTAATAATGTTGTTTTTTGACGTTAAAAAATACGTCACAAAACGAAATTATTACGTTTGCACCAACCTAATAGTATTCAATAATTCTTCCGAATTTTTTCTTTTTATGATTTTTATTTGTATATTTACGATAGAGACTTAGTTTTAGGTCATTATTAGTACAGTTTAACATGATATTTGTAGCCTTCAATATTTATGTGATGAGAAGTACATTGAAAATACTTTTAAGCTTTTCTAATAGCCTAATTATTTCATCTTCAACACAATATAGAATTTTTAACTTAAAGAAATGAATGATAAAATCTTAATGAAACAAGATATATTACTCTACCTACCAATTCTATCATAACTACAATTGAAGAGAATTTTTCTAAGCTTAACATAAAATTTGTTACAACTGCTTCTAAAATAAGACATTTAAAACAAAAGAAATAACAAAAAACCTTAAGTAGGAATTTACTCTACAGCCTGTAATGATTGCCACAAAGAATGCATAAGAGAGACCCTGAAGAATTTAAGTAAAAGATTATATAGACACAAAAGAAATCTTTTACAAAACAACAAACTCAGTGCACTAGTTTGCTCACCATAATGAAGCTGACCATAATTATGATTTTAAAAATTCTACTTTAAGAGAAAGCAGTTTACTTAAAAGTAATTGCTTTAATCACTAAATCATCCACAGTAAATTTGCATCCCAAGTTCTTACATTTCACCTTTCTGAATAAGATTGGCTAGACTGTAAGTCCAGACATGTGTGATAAAAAAAAAATATTTAAATTTCCATATCTTCAAAATTTTTCTCCTTGGTACATAATTATAACTTTATAACTTTATATCTCCCCTTCTCCCCTCTACACATATGTAATTTCATCAATAAAAACATTACTTTAGTGTGATGAAGTCCTTCTAAAGGACAAAATGTATTACACAGAATTTTTCTACTTTGATATTTAATTGTCTAACATTTTTCTGATATACAGAAATTTTTATACCATATTTATTATATATATATATATATATATATATATATATAAAGGTACCTCCACTTTTTCACTGAAAAAAACAGCGTAGCATGATGAAAAAAAGGCCCCCAACCTAATAAAAACAAAATTTTATCATCAAATATTAATGTTATTATTAACATGAAAGACCAAAGTATTTTTTATTAAATTTTTTAATCCTTTCTAACACATTCGAAATTTGGTGAATTTTTTTTTTTTAACATCAGTGGTATATGTAATATTTCGTGTTTTAGCATCTATTTTCATGTGAAAAACACCTTGATTTCTAAATTGTTGCAAAAATCAAATTGTCCAGTTTTGATTAAACTTTAAGGACTTATGTAACAGAGAATCAGGTCAGCCTGACAAAAGACTCTGAGTTGGTTGTATGTGGTGCTGTAAGTTGCATCCCCGCTCCCACAATGGGCTGTTGAAAGAAGACCTTTTGCTTAGAGTAGGTGGCACAGACTATTTGCATATGAACGATACTGGGCAAAAGACAAAAAAAAAAAAAAGCCAAAAGTCAGCGTGGATCTGGGGCTGGGAGAGCTATATAACACCAGTGTTTTTCTCAGTTGAGAGAAGCAGTCACAACATGCAGATGTGCAAAAACCAGGCAAGATGAACAATCTATTTCAGTGATTGATGGACAATGGCAGACTCCAAATTCAATTTAAAGTTGATTGCTGATTTTGACAGATCGGTGTCCAGTCTGCCAGTGGTTGAATGGATAGAAAAGCTGGAACTCATTTGCAGGCTATGTGGAGTGAAGTCTTTGGAGCATGTGATCCCTTTGCAATTTACAAACGGAACATATGCAGTTTACCAACAACTGGTTGACAAAGCAAAATCTGACATTGACCAGATAAAGAGTGCCTTAGTTACAGCCTTTGCTACGGATTCATTTATAGCGTATGGACAGCTCATTGAACAGCACCTGCAGTGTGGCGAATCCATGGATGTATACCTGGCTGAATTGAAGAAACTTGTGATTTTAATGGGTGGGATGTGTGACCATATGCTGGCTTGTGCATTTGTGCATGGATTGCCAGGTAATAGAAAGCAGACTCTTTGTGCATTGTCTAGGATCGATTCACTGTCACTTGCCCGAACCTGGGCAATTATGAGAGATGAGGAGATGGAGGAAGTCGTGGTGGCAGTGGTGGTCCGGCCAATGCAAAATACGGATATTCAGAGCTGACAACATGACAGGATGAGAGCAAGGAAATGTAAGAAGAGATATGTTAGTGCCAGTATCCTCACCAGCCCAGCATTACCTGTGATCAGGATCCAGGTTGATGACAGAACTGTCACCATGCTGATTGATACTGGTTGTCTGCTGTCTATAGCCAGCAGAGATATGCCAGTTGTAGATGAAAGGGCCTGTATGTGTAACAACAATAGACAGAGAGACCAGAGCCTGTTGTGGGATCGGAGTCATTGTCAGAAGGGGGAAGTCCTGTCAAGATTGACATAATGCTGGTGCGAGAAAAGCCACTGTTGATATATAAAATTATGCAAAATTATATATCATTTTATATATATAAGTTCACACCGAATTATGAGAAATGTATTTATTGTAAAAGAGGAATTATTTGTAAACAGAATTCCCTTCCTTGTTAATGCACTTAATCCAGTGGTGAATATTAATCATATTTAATGAATACAATAAAAATTTCAGTTTAAAATTCAGAAAATAACATTGCATCAGGATATATACTTATTGATATATCCTTGTACAGGATATGAGTGTGCGTGTATATATATATATATATATATATATGGATGCATATACATGCAGACAGGCACATGCACACATGCATACTTATACAAGGAAAAAAAATTTGCACCAATGGAAAGTGCTTATAAAAAAAATCGAGAAGTATAAGTGCAGTAAATTGTTGATACTCCCTGACGAGTGGACAGAGTGATTCCCGGAGGGTCTGTCTACAAAATTCTGGGGTCAGGATGCTGAAGGTAACATCAATCAGCTAAGGGAAAAGCCTTTTAGTTGTATTAATTATATATATTATATATATTTTGGGATTTTTCAGTGCACCCACATTACTACCGAATGTGATACAAGATCAGTTTAAAGTGGGTTTAACATTAATATCATAAAAAAATTGCTCAAGCCTCCTTGGCACTGTGCTCAATTTGAAAGTTAGAGTTTCACAGGATAAATAACTACACAAATTTTTTTTTTTTAAATTATCATTGTTTTTTGAGGAAACGAGTTTCAAGACTAAGTTTAGGTTCAAAATTATAGCATTGGAATTTTATTCCAGTGATCAGTGAAAACCTTATAGACTGCCTTATATAATTTATAATTTACTCAAGCTTTTCAACTTGTATATGAACAAGGTGCATGGCAGAAGCATATTATTACTAAATCATTGTGCCATCAAATAAGTCATTTATTTACTTCAAAGGGAAATTATACTGAACAATTTAACTATATTATGATGTAATGTTATACAGTGAAGTAGTTTTAGTGTGATTTTCAATAAACAATGCAAACTTAAAATTTGTCATAATTTGTACCCACCTGTATTATGGTGTTATATACACTTTTTTCTATTTTTTTGTTTCTATTAAGCCTTTTTTTAATCTTTTACTTTTTTTAACACAGTTTTTACTTACCGAATACAGTAAAAAAAATAGTATAGTTTGCTTATGGCAACTCATAATTAGAAATCTGGTTTGAATATATTTTCCATTCAATTTATCAAATACAAAAAATATCAACTTTATTTGAATTTATTCTTGAAATTATAACATTTTGAAGTCAGTTTGTAAGCAAAAACTTGCAGAAATTAGGTATTTCTGCACATTTTTTTTACACCATCTTTAAAACTAAATGCTCAAAAATTTGTGAAAGCTATGAATCTAATTTTAGGTGGTTGTAGTTATTACATCAGACCCCAGCTTTCACACTGAACACAATGATAATTTCCTAAAAAATGTGAAAAATCAACCTGCCCTATTGTACAGCAGCGTCATCTGGAGTAAAATGTGCCACAAAACTGCCTAAATAGCAACAAATGAGTACAGACAAATGGAAAGTGATACCAATTGCATCGTATATCGTAGATAGATAAAAGTAGAATGCTTGATCTTTCCTTTTCTTTCTCATTTTGTATATTGATTCATTTCAGGACATTATTCAAAATAGATCCAAGCCTCATGCCATATTTTGAATTTTACAAAGATGAATGGAACAAGATTGCATATGCTGACTATCAGGGCACATATCCTGAACATCCAGCTGATTCTTGGTGTGTTATATTCAGGTTAGTTCAAGGCATAATAATACCTTATACAAGGGAGACTTGATGTTGAGACTCAAATGGCATCATCATCTCATTCATTTTCATTTCCTTTTGCATTACAAGTAACTGATGGCTGTTACACTCTATTGGATTTTTAGAAATAATGGTCAATCAAATAAAACACCATCAGCCACAGATCGCGTGTGGTATATTATTTACTATAGCTTCATTATATATATAAACTTAGCTACAGCTGCACTAAAGACATAACACAAACAATAAAAAGTCACAACAAAAAAAGTAATAACTTGCAATAGAAAAATCAAAGATACCCCAATGCAACTGCAGAGACAAAACTACATGCCCACTACAAGGAAATCGCCTACAAACGAATGTAGTATACAAAGCTACAGAAGGAACATTCAAGCAAAGAAAATACAACCTCTCATTCTCCAACAGAAAATACTCCAGCAGCATCATACTATCCACATACATATGGCAACTAAAAGACAGAAACATCATATCAAAAATAAGCTGAGAAATCATGAAAACTACACCTGCCTAAAATAACATATCAAAGAGATGTCTACTTTGTCTACACAAAAGGAATTAATAAAACAAAAATCGGAAATAATTTCAAAATGCAGACAAGAAAATAACTATCTACTATCAAAGTTCACACCAAACAGATAATACCTACAACAAAAGAGAACACAGCCAGGAATGAAACTATGAAAAAAAAAAAAAAATGATAGAACAAGAAAACACAAGAACACAAAAACCACCAATATATAACCACCAACACCTTTCATTAACATTACCTGTACTGTTACCAACTCTCCCACCACACCCACAAACCAAGCACCCCTATAACAATTAACACAGACCGATAAAACTATCAGCACCATTACCTACACTACCATCACCCCTACCACTTTCGAAGTAATCACTTCATAACCATCTCCACTACCATTTGTACTGCTTTTTAACACTGTCATTGTTTTTATTATTATCAGTATTATTATCATCATCATGGTTACCATAAGTATTTCCATAATTATGATTGTCATTATTGCCATTTTTTTTGCCATCATACTTTTGTTTCCATGCATTAAGGCTAAATTTACCATTAACATATTAATAATAATTAACATCACAGTTATTATCACTATCAACATAATCACAATCGTCAATAATACACAAGCAGATAGCATTGAAAATACAAACATCATCATCACCATGCTCACAAACAGAACCCAGCTTAACCAAAGTGGTGGTGAAAGACCCAAACCAATAAGAGTGTATGTGTGCATCTACATGTGTGTGTGTGTGAAGAAGTGTAAGTTTCTCTGATGATGCAGGTGGTAGACTTGAAAAGTGTCAAGAACACCCATACCCACTCCTTGTTGAAAAGAACATTGCTACATATAATAAAAGCTACGATCCTGACAACAAAATAGAATTACAACTGCATTTGTATGTATACCCAAACACATGGATATGTATCTGCACCTAGCCTCGGATTGTTTATATGGATGTGTTTCTGTGAACTAAAATGCATACATCTGTATGTACGTGTGTTTATGTGTATGAGAGCATCATCCCAAACACAGAAGTAAATTCCCCCTCCCACCACCAAACGTAGTCAAACAAGCATAAATAGATCCAATTTTAAAAAATAAGCCACATTGATCACAAAAACATGAAACCCAGACTCACAAACTCATATCCATACAAATATATCATAAAAGGCACCACCTCACATACAATGCACTTTTATAATGGACAACATGCAAGGTTTTTCTTAAACATTTTTATTATGCAAGATTTTCAATTCATTTCTCAAGCTGTTCTTTCCTGTGCATTTCTCATTTGATTATTACTATGCTAAATTTTCAATGTATTTCACACTTAGTCTCTTCAATGCATTTCTCAAGTAGATCTCTTTTCTAGGTTGGATATTCAGTGCATTTCCCAAGCAGATCTATTTTAGATTTTCAGTGCATTTGTCAAGTAGATTTCTTTTCTATGTTGGATTTTCAATGCATTTCTCAAATAAATCTCTTTTCTAGGTTGGATTTTCAGTTCATTTCTTGAGTAGATTTTTTCCTGTGTTGAATTTTCAGTGTGTTTCTCAAGTAGATCTCTTGACTGAAAAATGGGCTTTTTTTTAACAGTTTTTTTGTGGTTTTTCATTATATGCAAGGAAGCAAGCAGGACTAAAATTACTCTACCTTATTGCATGTTGACAATTTTTTTGCAGCAGGTTTGAAGAAAATCAGATAAAAAATGAGGAAGTTATTCAAGTTTTTATTTTAAAAACATGATTTTTTCAGTTTTTTTTAATTTTTGGGGGTGAAGCCAATGTTCTAAGCAAACTATAAAGCACTCTACATAAACCTCATAACAGGAGCTATGTTTTGCATTTGCATCCAGTAAAAATTTTGTTTACCTTGATTTTTGGAAAAAGTCATACCCACGTTCAGTTTTATTGATTTTTCTGTCAAACCCGGGAGATTGAAAAGTTGGTCTTAGACCTACCTGTGTAAATTTCCAACATGTGTACAATTTCATCAATTGAGAAATGTGGATGTGCATAAATAGCATAACAAACACACACACATCTTCTGTTTTTTATATATATAGTGAACGTTCTAACCACTTGGCCACATGCCCATATATATATATATATATATATATGGGCATGTGGCCATTATAAAAGTGCATATATATATATATATATATATATATATGGACATTTGGCCAAGTGGTTAGAATGTTCAGTTTTTGACCATGAGATCTGGGTTTGAATCTCATCATGGTTGATTTGTCAGGAAGGAGACTTCCTGATGTTATCAGAATGGATCAAGGTTGATCCCAGCATGTGGCACATTTGAAAAGTGTCTGAAAACTATACCACAGGTTGACCCAATACTTGTGAGTGAAATTGGGTAGACACAACTCAAGGGCCATTGATAGCTGTGGCTCAAAGCCACAAGTCATCGTGGCTGAGGGCTTGAGTGTGCTGGCCTTGTTCAAATTGTTGATCACACTAGATAACACACACTCTCTCTCTCCCAGAAACTGTAACTAAGGTCTGCTCCACATAGTTGCAGCATAAATCACAAGTGGGCTCTGTAGTTGTTGAACAAATGTGCCTGAACAAGCGTCTGCAATAGCGACTCGCGAGCCGCCCTAGTAGACAGGTGTCCTCAAATATGAGTGGCCAGTTATTATATATGTGTGTGTGTGTGTGTATATATATATATATATATCCCACACCGTTTGCACTACTTGGTTTCATGCCAAATGCAATTTTCAGGTGCTGAGTGTATACTGACCATTATATTAATTTGAAAATATATCTGCTTATCGTAGTGTTGGTGTAATTAAGCACTATCTATATAGTGATGTAATCTTTTCCAAAAACTTTTTAATAAAAATAAAAGATTATATTAAAAAAATATATTTCTCATGACATTAAATCTGGCAACTAAAACAACAGGCATTACCATATGAACATAAAAGTGAGTTATCAACTATAAATTATTCATTATTAATAATGAAAGGGAGCTAAGAACCGATAAGTAATAATCCATAATACATAATAGATATTAAATAAGTAAATAGAGAAATAAAAATACCCTATACTAAAAACTAAACTGTGATGGTATAGAGAAATTAACCTGGGTCTCTGTGCTTACGTAGATATTTATTTTTATACCTACATTTGTACATCAGTTCCTTTTTCATATTTAGTAAGCCTGGGTTATTTAAATGTTGTAAGATAATTATTTTTCAACTAAACACAGGCTGCATTTACCCCCCTTGCCATTAAACAGCTTAGCCCTGGCCATTATATTTCATTTGATAGAAGGTGAATTACCAGAGTCTTTCAATTGCCAGAAATAATTGGAGAGAGAGCAGTGATGTTTCTGTATTTGATATAATCAAAGTCATACGGTAATGGTAGAAGCAAAGCCTCAAAGCATTCTCAGTAGAACCAAAATAGGATTTAACATCACTACTAGAATGAATGCACGCTCAATATATAACATTGTTGGTCATACATTGACCATTTAATGGACAGGTTGTATTTTTTCAGCAATTGCATTTATTATTGGAAAATTTTACATTATCATTTTTGGAAAGATGTTTGCTGTATATGATGTGTTGTGATATAGATCTATCAATGTTACTAGTGCAGATATAACTAATTTTGACATTTTTGGTAAAAATCTTAATTCTGGTGCATAGTTAAAATACTTGTGGGTTAATTTTAGGAAAATTTTTCCAACATTAGTTTGGACATTGTGGTTAAACCATATGATATTGCGTTTACAGTGTTTCCGATTTTTGTCTTACATCCGCATTCTTATCCAAATATTCTATGTTTAACTTATGATTGCTAAGTTCCAAAGCCTTAATATATTTATCTTTAGAATTATTAAATGTGTGTGTATATCTATATTATATTTCTTAAATCGAATTCATCACATGAAAAGCAGTAAAGCCACAAGACACAAAGGGGTTATTGGGTGTGGAAGAATTGGAAAACAAAAACATTATGAAGGAAAAAGAACAAAAGAAGAAAAATCAGGAAGACAGTAGATAACAATTGACATTGATCTTCAAAAATTTAAATGCAAAGTTGTCCAGAAAAAGCATGTAACCAAAAAAGTTCCACAAGCAATTCAATGTGAAATACTGATTAGCTACACAGGCATGTCTTTTAGATTTATTTACTTTCTACATATTTATATTCCAGAGAAACTACCATGGCCACAAAGTAATGGATCAGTTTATATATTGACTGTAATATAGAATACATCCCCCACTTTATATCCACGTTATAATGTTTTTGGTTTACCAAATTCTGATTAGGTATGAATCCACCTATTCTCTCCCAGACATGGGTTAATTAGTAAGACTTGTATCACTAAATCATTATTACTGCAAAAAAGAGAAAAAGATTTCTTAAAATCTAAAAATATTTTCTGATTTTAAATAACCTGCAAAAAAAAAATAAAATAAAAAATTAATAATAAAAAAAATAAAATAAAAAAACAGTGCAATTCTTAATAAATAAATTTACTTTTATTAGAATACTACCTGATGACTAAACACTGAAATCCAAACAAAATCAACCACATTTTCCTGTTAATAATTATCTACAATCAATTTTTATTATTGCTTTTATCCTTTATTTTCTAATATTATCTGTTTTTTATTTACTTATTTTTGTTTCCATGGTAACTCACAATACATTTTTGTAATAACTTATTTTTAAATTTTCCTTCACATTATTCAAAATAACACAGTCCAAAGCAAAATAAACAGAATTTTTAACTAAAAATTCATACAAGAGGGTGCTGAAAATTTTTCAGCCTGACCAAAAAGACTGTGTTTCAGTTATGCATGAGTGACTTACATGTGCTTGTGCTATATGATATATACACAAGCACATACACATCAAATTTAACAAAGTTTGAAATAAGACATTGGAATAATCCATTCCCCTCCCACACAGCTCAGACAACCCCTCCTCTGGATTGATCAAAGTCCAATGCGAGAAAAAAATTTAAATCTACAAAAATAAAAATCTAAGATTTTATTGAACTCTTTGAAAATCATTCAAAATAATAATTAGAATTATTTTTTAGCTTTTTCTTTTAAATTAATTTTTGTAAAAATATTTTTTAGGTCTGTCATTGAATTAAAATATGCATACATACATACATACAATTTGAATGAAACTGAAAGTGACATTTGTGTCATGAAGGCTAATTTCCCTTTCTGTCTGGCAATAACCCCTGGGTAACAGGAAAAGTGTATATGTCATCTTTTGAAGTTAATTTTATGACTCCTGTATTTAAACTGAAAATAATTTGATAATGACTAGTATTTTAAGTGCACAAAAAATTTAGATTTGAAATTTGATCATCTTGCCATCAGCAGAGCATCATGTACTGCACTAGTATAAATAAAGATTATTAATAATGAAATTGAAATAGATTGGAAACTGCCTTGGCTAACAACATTTGAATGTTTAGAATTTGAAGTATTGTTGCTTGTTTTAAATACAGAATGAGAAAGTATAAAATTTAAAAGTTTGCATGTATTTTAGGAATGGTGTGTATTCACATATGATAAGCAAAGAAGCAGCATACAAAACTTTGGTTTCTACTACAAACTATTATTTTTTATGTTGACTGTAGTGAAGCAAAGTTCTCAATATCTCTTGGGTATATCCATTTTCTTTTTTGGTTCAGAAATAAATTATGATAAGGATAAGAGTGGTTAAAATGGTTGAGCTCAAGTCAGCTTTGCACCGAGTTAGAACAACCAAATTACTTCATAACTAAGACAGCAAGTCACGCCCAAATGACATCATTGAAAAGAGAAAGCTTCTATTCTTTCTGGAAGTGGGGGTCATAAAAGCATGCATGTGACCAGAAACCCTTTCCTGTTCCTTTATTACTTGCATTATGGGAAAATATATTTGTTTTATTCTTTATTATTATTTCATTTAATTCCATTTTTTTTTCAAAAGAGATGATTAAAAATAGATTTCAGGTAATTAGAAAAATTTAGGTGTTAGTAATTAAAAAAAAATTCTATGCTGTAAGTGAACAATAAATCTGTTTGGCTTATTTTTTCAGTGTATTCTTATATAAGGATTTTCAAGCTATTTCTCTGGAAGTGATAAAAGAATAAAATATTAATTACACTATTTACATTATTCGGACTACTGTCCTCATCTTTGTCGCCATATTTATTACGTTTCACCCGTTGTACACTCCAGCCTTCTTCAGGTGGTTGGAATGTCAAACTGAACCCTTTATTTTGCTCATTGGGGTAGACTGTTCTAGTTCTACATGCCAGGTCTAATGGATGTCAGTTGTCAGTTATCTCCTGTAAATTCACCTCTCCAAGTTCTCCACCGCCTTAACCAGGTATTGAATTCACACTCTTTGGCTCCTGTCACTGGATCTAACCAACGTCTTTATCCACTGTGCCATGTGTCCTTAATTGTCGATACTTAACAAAAATACTTTGGTTCATGGCTCACTCTTTACTTTTATTCTGTTTATTACTAAATATATAGGAATTACCTCCACCTTGTCTACCAGGATGCCTGCTAGTTATCATTCTGTTCATGACTATAAAAGAAAGAGATGCAACCACCTCTTCCTCTTTTTTAATTGAAGAATGAATTAATGAAAACAACAGGATTTCTTTCTTTTGGGAGAGATTTCTTTCCTCAGCAGGTCATCTTAATTCCAGTTAGACACATGATAAATAAAACATTTTCTAATAGCAAAACTTATGTCCCTTCCCTTTTTCTGTGTACTGTGTTGGTTTTTTTCTTCTTGAATTACTTTATTCTTTATACAAAAATAAATCAGTAAAATTTTTTGCGTTGAGATTTATTTTTTATTTAAAATATTGAGTTCATTTATTTTAAAAGTTTTCGCCCTCGTCAGCAACAAGTCACAACTCCTTCCACTACAAACTGGTGATCAACAGCAACCTCATCCAATATAAATTGTAGCACATTTCACTTGGAATGTATTTATAATTTTTTCCACCCCTACCATTATTTTTTTCATAATCTTTCTTTCAGGGAAATTTTTATGGTCACTGAAGAAATGATGGTTGTTCCTAAGCTTTACATTCCTCTAAAGACGTGTTTTTTACGTGTTGTTGACAATGATACTGGAAAAGAAATCCCGCGAATATTCAAGCATGTTTCTCCTGCAATCTATCAAAAAAACAAGGTGAGCTGGTTTTAATCTTTTACCACCGCAAAGTTTTAATATCAGACAGGGAAATACAGTTAAAGAAAAGTAATACTTATAATCAGATGACAGCTTTAGAGATTTTCAAATCAATCTATCATTAACATATTTCCAGTTTTTCACAAAAGGTATTTAGATAAAATATATACTGCAGTAAGTTCATATCTGTTATAAATTGTTTTTTTTATAAGCTATTAGTTAATTGTTAAATCAAACGTAAATTATTGTTGTTGGTTAATTCTTAAGTTCATCCATTCTTCCTTTTACTCAATATTCTTTATTGATTTTTTTTTATGGCTTATCAATCTTTTGCAGGTTATTTAAAGCCAGAAAATATTTTTTTAGACTGTAAGAATTTTTCATTTTATTATTAAAAGTTCTACTAATTAACGCATAGCTTGGAGGAGGGTAGAAGAGGTGGATTCATACATTTCCCTAGGGTATCTGCATGTAAATAAATATAATGAACCTAACTGGAATTGGAACTTGGCTCTCCAATTTCAAATCCCAATTACACCACCCACACATCCAAGCTTACAGCACTTGGTATTCCAAAGTGGTCACCCATTTTGTTGCTAAGGTAACAATTCCAGCATCTGCTGAAGTTTTTTGTTCATCCACCTTTATTCTTACTTGATAACTGATTTTTAATGGAGTTAAAGTTTTAGCACAGTGTCTTTTCTACTCTCTCTCTCTCTCTTTTCCAGTGATATGGTAATATAGCCTTTATCTTTTGGAGTTTAATTCCTAACCATAGAAATTGTATTTATCTGTAAAAAAAAAAAAAAAAAATTGAAAATATTAAATAAGAATAAGCTACAATGCAACATGCAATTTAACTGTTTTTTCTGACAGATGACAGATCATCCTTTTTTTTTCTCCCCACCGCCGTAAATGTACAATTATAAGAGAGTTGCACCAAAATGATTCATTTCTTAACTTCAGTGATCACACAGGAAATGATGTTTCAACATGATAGGACTATAAGCATATTTTATTGAATTATAACGAAGATGAATGGATTGAAAGTTGAAATATGTAATTATTTCAAAATAAACTTTCCCTTCTTTGTAATATTATCTTCAAGTATTTATAAGCTTCATCGTGGACAACCAACTATGTCTGGTGTTTAATAGCAAATTATTACATTGAACCTTGCATGTATTGAGAAAATTGTAGATCAGTTCAATGAGTGTCAAGAGATTAGTGTTTTATTACAGGGGTCTGCAACAAAGTATCAATATAGTTTTAGAATAAGGCTCTAGACAGCGGGTCAATTTATAAAGGGAAGTAACTCCTACTTAACTAATTTCTTAATATTTAAATTCAACTTCCCTTTCTTTCATTATTTTATCTCTACACTGAATCAAATATCTATGAGTTATTATTTTCGACTTAATGTTGTTTTAATTTAATGTTTTTTTTTTGTTTTTTTGTTTTTATACCAAGCTTAATGTCTTTACTGTTATCATATTTTGAGTGAATAGATTTTTTGCTTATCAATGTAACAGATTTTTATTATTTAAATGTTATTTTGAACGGAGCATCTACTCAAATGCAAGTATCCACCTAAAATAACATTTAAGTAATAAAAATATTTTTCAATGTTTAAATTTATTTTTTACAATATTCATCCTGTACAAGGTCCGAGAACCAGTAGGGGTAGAGGGTTACAGAGCAAAAGGTAGATTTTAGGCAGATATGTGGGGAAGATAATGGTTAACCCTAGACTTGAACAGGTTAAGATTGCAGTGATTGAGGAAGCATACTCCTGTGAATGGGTTTCAAAAAGCAGGGGTTTGTGGGAAGAAGCTTCTCAAATAGAACTTACATCTCACCAATGGAATACAAATGAAATGAGAGTGGTTTGCTACAATGTGTATGGCATGTTGTGTCTTAATCATGAAGATTAGAATAGCTGGCACTAAGGAATGTAGTTTATCTGAACACCTTCCATGGAAATAGCAATAAGTGAGGGAAATAATCCATCACTCACAAAGATGCGGAGATGTTTTTTGACTCAGTTGAGAGTGGAAATTGAAGATTGGATGCTCCTGCTCACATCTGGCTTCTTGTAAAAGGTAAAGGATAACAGGATGAGTCAGGTACTTATTAGAGTGATACAGGGAACTGACCATTTTTCCAGTATGTTTAACAATGTATTATATGTAAAAGTTCCAATTGAGGTCTGGAACTGAGTTTAAGTTTCAGTATGCACTCAAGGTACAAGGACTCACTAAGCAAACATCCATTCTTTGAATTTGTCCTTTCTGGTGCTCCCACTTATATGTCCTTTTGTTTTTAATTGCTAAGGCAACAATTCCAGAATCTATTGAAGTTTTTTGTTCATCCATTTTTATGCTTACTGAATAACTGATTTTTAATAGAGTTAAAGATTTAGCACAGTGTCTTTTCTACTCTCTTGCTCGCTCTTTAAGCACTCATTCTCTCACTTGCTACACACTGTCTCTCTTTTTACACTTTCTGCCTAACCCTCTTGCTCTTTCTTTACTCTATCTCTCTCTGGTTCTCTCTCTCTCTCTCTATTCTCTTTCAATTTCTTCCAGTGATATAGTAATATAGCTTTTATCTTTTGGAGTTTAATTCCAAACCATAGAAATTGTATTTATCTGTAAAAATTAAATTTGAAAATGTTAAATAAGAATAAGCTACAATGCAACATGCAATTTAACTGTCTTTTCTGACAGATAAGTGACCTTCCTTTTTTTTCTGTAAATTTACTATTTTAAGAGCGTTACATCAAAATGATTCATTTCCCTTTTAATATTGCTGAAAATTTAAAAAAAAAATATATGAATCCAGGTAAATCAATGATTTTAAAAATTGTTTGGATTTTCTTTTTTTGTTACTCTTGCAAAACTCCTAGAGAGGTTATACATTTATGGCCGAAGCCCACAGCTTGGATCAGCCTATTATACCTAACAAGTGGCGGATACGCATAATTGGGTCATTAAGCCCACTCCCTGCACCACTGAAGAATGAAGTTAACAGCTGTTTCTTTGTGAATGAAATCAAGGATTATTACATCCCCAGTGAAACATCATTTTTCATGAAGTAAGTCAACTACTGTACATCTAATAAAAGTCAATGTAAGGTTTGGGCCTGCATTTGTGATCCTTATAAATGCCACCTTTAAAGGATGTAATAAAATCAATAATTATATATAAATTAATCTATGAATTAAAAATTATTAGATGGATACAAATATTTCCATCTATGCTTTCAATCAGACTTCTACCAATTAACAAGATCAAGGAAAAACTGATCAAATAGTATTGGATTGCACCCAGATATGTATTCTCTTATACATAAAAAAAATGAAAACATGTATGAATTAAAAAAAAAAAATAAAAAAAAAAAAATAAATCCTGTTTATGGTATATAAGAAATATAATTTATGCCAGGATTTTTTTTTTTTAAATGAGCCATCATGGTTGTTATACTCAAATTTGAGCTGTTGTACCTGTGGAAGTTAACAAGGTTGTGGGTTTTGTGTATATTTTTAGGTGAAGGTGTGTGCTCAATATGTAAACAAAGAAGATAGAAGAAGCATACAAAAGAATTTATTTCTGCCACGGAAGTTTATTTATATTGAAGCAAAATTAAAATGTCTCTTAAGTATGTCTATTTTGGTTCAGTAATAATTTATGGGAAGTAAGGATAAGCATGAGTAAAGATGGTTGAGCTTGAGTCATTGGAGTTGGAATAACTGAATCTCTACTTCATGAGTAAGGCTGCTGAAAACATGTCCTATTTGCCCATAACTGGGACCCTAACAGGTGCCACCGCCCCAGATCAAGGTGGGCCTGGGAACAACAGCAATTAAGAGGTGGTTCTGCACTCCTCAAAACTTCCACCACCACCACCCCTTCCCTGATCAGAGGCCTTACTACCGGATGTAGTTTATCATCTTACTCGGGATTACAGGCATAATGAAATGAGACAATAGCTAAATTTCAACTACAGTAGTCAGCAACATGTAAAGAAAAAAAATGTCATTGGTAAGTGAAAAGAATCTGTCCTTGCCAGAAGTTGGATCATAAAATTATACATAATCAGAAATCCTTTCTGAAACTGTAAAGTTTAGTTATGTGGATGCTAACAAGGTTGTGGGTTTTGAGCATATTTTTTTTTTAAGTGAAGGTGCGTGTTCAATATATAAACAAAAATAGAAGAGGCATACAAAAGAACTTGAGTTTCAGCTACAGACATTTATTCCTCTTATCTTGACTGTACTGAAACAAAGTTAAATGTCTCTTGACTATGTCTGTTTTGGTTCAGAAATAATTTATGAGAAGAATGAGAACAAGTTAACATGGTCAAGCTCAAGTCAGCCTTGTGCCGAGTTGGGATAACTGAATCTTTACTTAACTTACTTAATGAGTAGGGCTGCTAAAACATGTCCGACAATGTTGTTGGTAAGAGGAAAAAGTTCAGTCTTCCGTGGACTGAGGAAAACTAACATTCCCAGTGGGAATGCTATGTGGTTCACCTCTTGAAACTCAGAGGAGAAAAAGAAAAAAAAAAGATCCTGTCCTTTCTGGAAGTGGGATCATAAACATCAAACATGTGACCAGAAACCCTTTCTGGTTCATTTATAACTTGCATCATGAAAAAATGAATTTATTTATTTTTTTTGTCTTCATTATTATTATTTTATTTATTCCTTTTTATTTCATTTTCCCCACATATCTTTCAGTCTTCTTCAAGAGACTGTTGTACTCACAAACCTTTCTGGAATTTTGAAGTGAACCCTTTATTCAATCCAGAGATAGATTGTTCTCAATATTTATTGTATATAAATATAATTATGGCACAAGGCCGAAAAGGGGAAATGAGTAGAGGCTGGTCTTCACTGACTATCCTATACCTAGCTAATCCAATTCACGACCCATTCACTCATTACAATTTCACATTCACCATAAAGACATGTCTGTCAACAATCAATCCTACATACACCATCATACCGCATCCTCTAAGGGGGACCTACAAAATGCACCCCATGACATACAAATCTGATGATTACAAAATTTATATACAAAAATTTATGGATTATTTAGAATGATGATGAGGCGGGGGTAAGAGATGACCCACGAAACAAACTACATAATAAAAAATAATAATTTGACTTCCTTCTCTCTGGTTCATTTACCATTCTGTTGTTTGTCCGTTTTATTCTACTGAACCAGAGTATAAGACTTTTCTGCACTACATAGGCCAGGGATTGAAGTTACAATTGCCAGGAAGCCAGATATGTTTTAACCAATATTTTAATCCACTAGGCCGTGTGTCTCTATTTTGGAGCCTTAAACCTATAAGTGGTGAAAGTTTTGAGTGTTCTTTTTTTAATCAAAGGCTACCAGATGGCATTCATTTCTCTGCTTGGTCTACTGAGAAGGTTAGGTTGCAAGATTGTCAGAGCCTAACATAAGATGACTCAAAGAATTCATCCATAATTTCCAAAAACAACTGAAAGGATAAGACAACAGAGCATGGGAATAAAAACAATCTACCCACATGGATTGAATGCAGAGTTCAGTTCAAAATTCCAAGAAAATTACCCAGTATAACAAACACCTGAAGGAGGAAGGGAACAATGGCCAAAACATTGTATCCTCATCTTGGTTGTTATATTCACAAGTTCAAATGGAAAGACATAATGATAAATATTATAGTGATATAAGAAATAACAAATAAATAAGATCATAAATATAAAAAAAATACTATTGGTAAACAAATTCATATTAAAGTGAAAAGTATATTCTCTTTGAATTTCTGGGATGATGAGTTATTATTTACACAATTTACATTCCGACTATGAATTGTCCTTATCTTTGTTCTTGCTGTCGCAGTTTGATATACACTTGAAGGCTGAAGTGCACAATGACCGAAATGATGTGATAATAACAACAAAGATGAGAACAATAGTCTGAATGTAAATAGTGTAAATAATGAAAAGTACTTTGAAGAAAAGCTATTATTAATTACAAGAATAGGGATTTCAACTTTTATTTCAAAATAGGCAAGTAACAAAGAAGAGCAATTACTGAAAATATTACAGAAAAAAATTACTAAAGAAAAATTAAATTACTAAAGAATTTACAATATAGCAAAACAAAGGTTCCAAGTGTAAATACATAGTCTAAATTAATAAGCTACCAAAATATTCTTTATTTTAAAAAAAAAAAAAAATAATCATAAAAACAGACATTACGATTGGTTGATTTTGTTTAGCGGCAGATCAACCACTATGGATTATTTAATGCCAAAATCTAAATGTTTTGAATACAATTTTATTGCTTCAACTACAAATAAAATTTATTGCTGGTCATTTTGCTTTAAAATTGTTGGTAATTCTACTATAGTGATTTTCCAAGCATAGTTTTGATGTGGCACAAGGCAGAAAGTATGGGGCACCCAGTGAGGATCAAATTCAATACTCAGTCGTAATTGTTCTAGCCAAAACAAGCTTGCTAACCATTATAGTGCCTCGAGGTGCCCTGGTAATTCTACTATAAATAAATAGGTATTGTTGGTAATTTTTTAATATAAAAATGTATTGCCAGTAATTTTACTATAAAAATGCATTATGTTTTGTTTTTCTTTGGAGGGTTCACTATTTGCCCATAACTGGGACCCTAACAGGTGCCACCACCCCAGATCAAGGTGGGCTTGGGAACAACAGCAATTAAGAGGTGGTTCTGCACTCCTCAAAACTTCCACCACCACCACCACCCCTTCCCTGATCAGAGGCCTTACTACCGGATGTAGTTTATCATCTTACTCGGGATTACAGGCATAATGAAATGAGACAATAGATAAATTTCAACTACAGTAGTCAGCAACATGTAAAGAAAAAAAATTATTATACAATGAACTAAGTGGTTATAACTTCTCAGAATTCGATTGAGGAAATTAAAATATTGTGTACACTGACTTAAAAAAAAAAAAAAAACAATGAAGAAAATACAGATCTATGTGTGCTTTTTCTTCCACACATTTTCCTTTCTTCATGTTTTTTAGTTAATGTATGCAATATATTAATTTCCTTACTTCTGACATGTATGTGAGTTCATTCTATAGGATTTTTTGTTTCATTTTTTTTTTCCTTACATATCACCAACTATTGTAGTTGAAATAAAATAATGTTAACCAAATCTAGCAAGTAAAAACAAATTATACTTCATTAAGATCCTTGACAAAGCATGACTGGATAAGAATAAAACATCAGATTTAAAAGACACAAAGAAGTTATGCCTTGAGCTTTATATTTGCTATTTAAATCTGGGTAAAAAAAACTAGAATTTTAAATATTCCCCACTTGAAAGATTGGCACATTAGAACGTTTCTACTAAACTGAGTTATAAATAATTTCTGTTTGGGGAACCAATTGTAATGATGAATGTATCATCATCATCCTAACTACTAATAAAAAGTGATAGTTAAGAATAAATTTGGAGTACACTAACATACACTCCTGGTCAAAATCTTAAGATCATAGAAAAGGGTTAAAAATAATAAAATATTGTTATTCCTAATTGAAATATATTTGTGAAACATTTACATTTGATTAGAAAATGTAGTTTATCAACAAGTGAAAATTTTAAGCTATTAATTTAAACAAACATTGAAAAAGCATTTTTTGGTTGGTCATAAAGATAAGACCATGTGTGCAAAAAAAAAAAAAATTACTGGACAAAAATTTTAGAACTAGTCAGTCTGCTTATAGATTCAGGTGTGTAGACATCTACTTAGCATATTTCCAGCATTAAATTTCAGATTTTAAAAATGGCTAAGGGTAAAACAAAGTTTGAACAGGGCAGGATTGTTGAACTTCAAAGACAGTCTTTTGCAATGAGCTATTGCAAATGAAATTGGCATAGCAGAACTGTCATTCCTAACTTCATTAAAAATTCCAGATATGTAGGCTTCTAAAAAATCAAACCATCAACCCAATAAAATCTCATTATCTCTAGACAGATTCATTAGGTGAGAAGTTAAGAGAGTTTCAAGCCTAACATCAAATCAGATAAAAGTGAATACAGATGCTGAATGCAGCTCTTGAACAATTCAACGGCATTTAAATAAGAAAGGGTTTAAGAATGTGAAATGGCTGCAGAAGCCTCACCTTCTTCCACACCATAAAACCTCCTGTTTACAATTATCAAACTTGGTATGTGGATAAATGGAAGAAAGTGTTGTTTGCAGATGAGAAAAAAAATTCAACCTTGATGTCCCAGGCAGTTTTCAGCATTACTAGCATGCAAAAGATGTCCCAAAAGGAATTTTCTCAACATGACACAATGGAGATGGATAAGTTTGGGGTCTGGGGTTCATTTTCATACAATAGCACTCTTGAGTTACAGGAGGTAAAAGGTCATCAAACAGCTGCTAACATTTACATGTTAAGAAAGGCATTACTAATTACTGAAGGCCCTTGTCTATGTGGAGAAAACTGGATTTTCCAGCAGGACAAGGCCAAGGAGGTTTTCATAGAAAACAACATTCAGCATTTGAGCCATCCACCATGCTCTCCAGATCTAAACCCAATCAAGAATATTTGGGGATGGATGGCAAAAGATGTTTATAGACTTGGATCACAATTTGAAACTGCGGATGCTCTTCGTGCTGCAGTTTATGCATCCTGGGTGAGTATAGCACCCTCATGCAGAAGTTAATATTGAGTATGCCAAAGCAAATTTTTGAAGTAATTTGCAAAAAAAAAAAAAAATGGAGGATAGACTGAATATTAAATTGTCATTGTGACTTATTTGTTCTGTATTTTCTATTTTTATTTATATGGTCTTATCTTTATGACCAACCAAAAAAAATACTTTTTCAATGTTTGTTTAAATTAATCAATTAAAAGCTTAAAATTTTCACTTGTTTTTCTAATTAAATGTAAATGCTTTGAAAATATATATCAATTAAAGTAACAGTATTTTATAATTTTTTTAACCCTTTTGTATCTGGTTTTAAGATTCTGACCAAGAGTGTACCTTAGTTTTTGCACAGTAGTGGCAGCATATACAGCGGATTATAGAAAAAATGTTGTTCTCCATAACAAAACAAAACCTCATGCAGCAAAAATTAAACAGTAGAAAAAAATAAAAATTGTGGAACTTGTTTAGTCTGTTCTACCCAACCTACCATATTCAGCTAAACTTACACCAACTGATTATCTTTTTCAATCTCTGCAAAAATACTTTGATGGGGAAAATTCTCTAATGAAAACCAGAGCTTGTCAAAAAAATTTTCACTTCAAAACTTGTGGAACTTTACTGAAAAAGTATCAAAGAGCTGCCTGATTGTACTTTATTTTTTGAAGAATAAAGTTGATAAAAACGGAAATTATTTATGACTCAACCTAATACTTCCATTTTTCTCCATTTAATCTTAGGCAAGATTCAGATAAGTTTAGGAAGGCGATTTTCTAAGATTTCTAATTCTTAGATGTGGCACAAGGCCAAAAGTATGGGGGCCACCCAGTGAGGATCAACAGCTAAGTTTAGTAAGTGTATCAACATAAGAATTAAACTTCATTATTATATGAGAAGCTTTCTTCAACATACTAGAAAATTACATTTAATCTTTGTTTCTCATTCATTTTACCAGTTACACAGTCAAAGTCACAGACGATCATCTGGCCACCATCCAGCTGTCAACCTCCAAACCAGATGCCCTTTTCCAGTTGTGCATACTTGACCATGGTTCAATCATCTATCATGTAGAAGGCAAAGGTCATGCAGTTCTTCCTGCTGTTATCTTCTTCAAAGATCCAGTGGATGATGAGGCCTTAAGTGTATCAAGCTCAAAAGAATGTAAGCCTTTTAGTTACACACACAGTCTCAGAATATGAGTTTATTTAGACAAGAATAATTTTTTTTTTTAAGTACCTGAAATTTAGAATTTGTGTCACACACAAAATGACTCGAGTGAGACACATTGATAGCAAACAAAAAGTAGTCCTTTCATTCAATCTAACATTTGTAATATTTGCAATCTACAAATAGCATAGATTATAAAATTATATATATATATATATATATATATATATATATATATATATATATATATATTTTTAATGCCTTGAGTGCTGATAGTAATAATAAATAATATTTATAATAGTAATAATAAAACAGTGCTCAATGTAAAATAACAGATCTAAAATTTATACTAAGAATAATTATACATTTGTTCATCACCACTCTATGTTAGTCAGAGTGTTAGGCTGGACAGTGTTAATTTTTGCCTGACGACTGCTATAAGCATGAAAAGAAGCGTTATGTTGGACGTCTTTAATTTGTACCTGACAATTGTTATCAGCATGAAACTCCTAGTAGGATAAAATGTTGAGGAACAAATTTATAATTTTTCTTCATATTATATATATATATATATATATATATATATATTCAAAAGTAATGAGAACAAAAAGAATATAAATTCAAACATTCATAGCATTAATTTAAGAGGGCTCAATACCAAGAGTAGAGCAATAGTTATTTATTATAAAGATGATACATACAAACTAGTACTCATGACAAAGATGCTTTTTTGTTTTGATGCAAACACATTTCGACAGGTGAGTAACAAAGATGGTAGCCATCTTTGTTCCTCACCTGTCAAGATGCATTTGCATCAAAACAAAAATGCATCTTTGTTGTGAGTACTTGTTTATTCGTATGTAACATCTTATATATCACTTTAAATGTTATTTTTAGCGGATACTCATATTTGAGTAGATGCTCAGTTTATTTATTAAACAGTATATGTGTTTTTGTCTACCTACCAGAATATTCAAGAAATCATATTAAGGAAAAACATGCACTCTCTGGCGGGATTTGAACCTGCATCCCCCTCTTGGATTGATAAATAATCCATTTCTTCTTTAGAAAATTACTTTTCCTATGTTTGGATACAAAACTGAGCAGATATAATTTCAAGGAATCTATGACATGAAGGATTTCGCTTAATGGTACTGTTCAGACCTTGCTTGATTGGGAAAACCTTTTTGTAGTCAAGTCAGTTAAAGAACATTGAATCTAGCAATGGTTTCTCTTTGTCTAGTGCACACAGGTTCAAATTCTGCAGAACAGTGAATATTTTTTTTAATAACATTTCTCAAATATTCAGGCCAGTAGACAAAAATAAACAAATGAAGCATTTACTCAACTAGATGTATCCACTAAAAATAATGTTTAAAGTGATAAAACTCTGTTGGATTAGTAAAAAAATAGTCCATTACTTCTTTAGAAAATTATATATTTTTAGGAATAGATTTTCCATACATATTTTTATTTATTGCTTAAACAATTAAACAGTATATTTATTTCCATCTACAAGCCTGAATATATTTATAAGATTTCTCAAATACACAGGCTGGTAAATGGAAACAAATAAATAAATATGTTGTTTTTAATAAATAAACAGGGCATCTACTCAAATATGGGTAACCATCAAAAATAACATTTAAGCAATAAATTAATATATATATATATATATATATATATATATATATATATATATATATATATATATATATATATATATATAAGATTAATGAGAGCAAAATTGTCACTTAGCCGATTGATGTAACCTTCAGCATCCAGAGTTTCATAAACGATCTTGTTCATCCACTCTTCAGTCGGTATCAACAATTTACTGCTTGTATTTTTTCAATTCATATACATTTAGCTCTGGTGTAAATTTTCTTCTGTATTCTCTGCGATTGTCTGTGCACTTATCTGCTTACTCACATGCACCCTTTTGCACAGATGTGTGTCATGATCATTTTGCCCTTTTCTCAGTTTTTTTTTTTTTTTTATCTGTGGCAGACTTAGTTTGCTTTTGTTCCAGCTCTAGACATGTGACCTACTTTTTAGTTATTTATTTTTATTTATGGGCATTTTAATTTTTTGCTAGATGAGTTGTATTTTATTTATGATTTTTATAAATAAATTATATTAATGCTTAGGCAATATTGTGTGTGTGTAATGATGATGTTAATGCTTAAATGGTAAATACTTATGCATACACATGCTTATATATATATATATATATATATTCACTGGGCTATTATTTTGTTTTTAATTGGGTTTGGTGATATAAGTATTAATTGTAGGAGGTTAAATTTATAATTAAATCTATTATTGTTAGAATTTATGTGCACATGTCTGTAATTATACACTCCTGTATATGCACACCTTTTTCATGCATGTATTTAGGCATATGTACACACAGATGCATGTACATGGATACATGTACACTTAAGTTTGTGCTTTGTTAGTAATAAATTAGTGCATAAATGGTAAAATTATTTAATTTTTAAATATCATTTTTATATATATATATATATATATATATATATATATATATATATATATATATATATATATATATATATATATATACTCCCACACACACGTATATGTAATTGTTAAATAGTGTATGTTATTAAAATAAGTGCATGCTTATATCATATGTTGTTGTTTATCATTTGTTTAATGTTTCATTTTCATTTAGTAGTTTATTTGTTTTTTGCCTTGGTATTGAGGTATTAATTATGGTGGATTAGGTTTGTTTATTTTTTTGGTGTTTGTGTGTGCATATGTCCAGATACTTGCATAGGTGTATACTTTAATATTTGTTCATTTATTTGTTTATTAATAAATTAAGTTTATATTATATTTGTTTCTTTTATTTATCTAAAGTTTGTATTATATTTTTTTAAGTTTATATGCATTTTATTTATTTTAATTAGTGCTTAGATGGCAAAGTAAATATTTATTTATATGCCTACATTTACCCATTATTTCAGTTTCCTTGTTGAAGAGTTTATTTTGGTTTTTAAAACTAGTTATTCCAATTTTTCCTATAAGCATAATTCACAATTTTTACTATTAATACTGTATGAGGCTGCTCTTTTTATAATTTCCGATTTGATTTTGGTAAATTTTAACAATAATAAATAAGTTTAATTATAAATCTAACCTCCTACAATTAATACTTATAATATCACCAAACCCAGTTAAAAACAAAATATTATCCCAGTGAACATTATATATATATATATGTGTGTGTGTGTGTGTGTGTGTGTGTATTGGGGCAGCACATCATAAGCAACTATATGAAGTTTAGAATGGCTCAAGATCAAACATAATAGACATTCATTTTGTTATATTTAATAATTGTCCATTTCAAAATGTGTGACATCATTTGTTTACATTTGGATACGCTTTGAGCAGATATGAAAGTACGTGAGAGATTCATTGAAGATTGTAGTTTAAAAGCAGTAAAACTGACTTTGCCTATCGAACGATTCTCCGTGGCTCGATCGGTTAAGGCACCTCAGGCTATATGATGGTTCCGTATAGGATACAGGTTTGATTCCTGTCGGAGGACGAATATTTTCTATGAAAATTTCTTGGACATTCAGGCTGGTAAATGTTATTAATACTGTTTATTATAAACAGAGCATTTACTCAGATATTTGTATCTATAAAAAGAATGTATAAACATAAAAATGTCTTAAAATATATATATAAGGTTTTCAGTTTGCTGAGTTAAATGAATGAAATAATCCCCTTTGTTTGTGGTGGGAATGTTCCTATACTTGGAGATATATATATATATATATATATATATATATATATATATATATATATATAGCCTAAGCATTAATATCAATTGTTTATATAAAAATGTAAATGAAATACAACACCCCTAGCAAAAAAGTTAAAATGCCCATAAGTAAAAATAGGCCACATGTCTAGAGTTGGAACAAAACCAGACTAAGTCTGCTACTGATAAAAAAAAAACAAAGAAAAGGCAAAATGATCATAATGCACATCTGTGCAGACAGGCACATGTAGACAAACACACACACAAATACAGGGAATACAGAAGAAAATTTATGCCAGTGCTAAATGTACATAAAAAGAAAAAATTGAAAAATATAAGCAATAAATTGTTAATACACCCCGAAGAGTGGACAAAGAAGCCTGTCTATGAAACTCTGGAGTAGGGATGCTGAAGGTAACATCAACCAGCTCAGTGACAATTTTTCTCACATTGATCCTATTAATGCTCTCTGCTATCGAGCACTTTATAACAAAGATTTCTGCCTTAAATGTCTCTTCTCTCAATACTCCCTTGACTGCCAGCATTTTCAGCTTTATATATATATATATATATATATATGTTTAAATTAAAAATCAGGAGGTCAATTAAAATACACGACTGCGGTTTCAACCTGGCGGTCTCATTGGGAAAAAAAAACACAAAGAACACTACATAATAATCTTTCAAAAAAAAAAAAAAAAAAAAAAAAAAATAATAATAGGTGCATTTTAATTGACCTCCTGATTTTCAAACTTAAAAGCTCTACATGTTATTTTTACTTATTTTTTTTTCTCATGTGTATTGAGCACTTTTTAACACTACTGTTCCCTGGTCTGATTAAACTCTATTAACTTTTAAAAATTATCGAATATTAGCCTAACAAAACATCAAAGAAAGGGTTTCTATTATTAATGTATTTTTGTTTTTTAATCATTTCACTGCAAGCAAGGCAATAAAGCTACTAAGACACAAGGGGTTACTGTGTGTTAGAGAATATGAGAAAAAATACTAAGAGAGCAGATAAGAAAAAGACAAAAATTAAGAAGACAGGACATAACGACTGACATTGAATTTAAATTTTTGAAGATCAAAATTAATTGTAAAACAAGAAGCCTAAAGAGAGTCCAAGAAGTGAGAAGTCTAGATGATGATCTGCAAACCTCAGTGCAAACACAGATATTATTGTCAGGATGATGAGGCAGCTTGGCATAGTTGGCTTGCTTGTGTTGGTTATGTGACCTTTCAGATGGTTTACATAACCTCTGCCCTCAACAATAGTACACACACCACATTTCCAAGACTGCATATTAGTTGGCAAGTCAGAGTGAGTGCCTCTTTGTAGATTATGCTTGATCTGGACATGTCTGAGACATTCATCCTCAAAGGAATTGTATCCCTCACTTTATTTATAGCATAAATTTTGAACTAGATTTTCCTAGGTTTGAACCAGTTAACAGATTCAACATTTTTATTAAATGAGCAGTTGTACCCTGTCCTTTTAACCATTTTTTTTTTTTTTTAGAAAATGCCTTCTTGGATCTATTATCAAATTATTACTTTGTTTTTTTCTTGTAGCTCTTGCAGGAAAAGCAAAGCGAATAGCATCACCAATCACAGAGCATAACTCAGTAAGTTCCTCCTGTATCAGTTCAGCTTTTTTTTAAAAACTATCTTGTTTGTTTCTAAATACAAAATTTAATTTAAAAAAAAAAAAAAAAAAAAAAAGCCAGAAAACTTACAGCAATTTGTCAACTGTCATTATTTATTATTACAATGGGGCATCATTAAAATTAAAGTCTTTGAAATTCATAATTTCATTTTGAGGGTTCTTTTTTGCTTACTAATTTGATCAAAGGTAATTTGTTATCACACAGTGTCACTAAAAAATAATTACAGATTTTATTAATCACAAGGTAACACAAAAATATTCATATAAGTTTGAAAATTATTTAAATCTAGCAAGAATGTCATAATCTGATCTTATCAACGTCTACTGGTCTTTAAAATTTAACTTTTTTGTCCCCCACCCCCACAAGATTTCATAGCTTTTTTTTTTTTTTTCACAATAAATCAGAAAGCAAGTCAACGAGTTTCTCTGGCTAAATATAATTTTGGATGGTTTCATGACAGAGTCAAATATCTGTTACTCGTATCAGAGGTCAATGTTCAAGCCCAAATAAAAACCAAGATTTCATGTCATTTGTGGCCCTTTGTACTTGGAAAAATTAACAGCATAGTTTTTCTTTATTCCTGTTTTCCATAATTTAGTATCTTAAATTCAGTATAACTAGGATTGTCTCCCTTGGATTCTTTTACAAAGAGAGATCATTTTCAATAAAGCTTGATTGGTTTTAGCAAAGTTAACATAAAGCCATGTTAGAAATGAAAAAAAATATATAAAATAAAAACTCATTTAGTCTTTCATATGACAATAAGTGATATGAAAATCAGCCATGAATAATAATGAAAATGTTGTTCAATGCAAATGAAACATAAATCATTATTGCATAAATCTTGAAAAATAATTTATTCTTTAAACCAGTGTTAATATTAGTTACTTTCCAGTTCAGATTCTCTTATCTTCATATTTCTTTATTTCTCCAAACAGAAGTGACAAATTACCAAACAATAACATTCTTGGTATTTGCTAACCCCCATACATATTTAGATATTTACGCCTTTTCTAAATAAATTCAAAGTTCAATAAGAGTTTATTGATTTTTGTAGTTAACAGGCCCTACAATGCAAATGCAAGAGGAGAGTGAAAGAAAGGTAAGAAACTTTCTTTTTTCTTTAAATTTTTACACTTATTAGATGAATAACCATTTTTTTTTTATATATCCTTTTCTTACATATATAAAAGATCTATTTTAAATACTTATAACAGCTTTTTAATACACTTAAAAAATAATCCTTGTTTGGTTTGTTTTATGGTATATCAACCACAATGGGTTATTTAATGCTGACAAGATTTTTTATAATAGATTCATATGAATAGAATACATATTCTTTCTAAGGAAAAAGTTTCATTGATATACTTTTGTAAAGAGGGTTGTTGCAAAGAGTCTGCTTTCATTGATGTATTCTTTTCAGATACACGGTTTGTAGAGGAATTGATTTTGACATTCTCATTTGGTTTATAATTTTTGGTAGAGTCCTACCATTTTGAGATATGATATATCATCCACTTTTAATTTCTCAAACAGCTCATACATATTCTTTATATTATAATATTTTTCTCTTGAGAGGGTAAGATTTGAGCACTCGGTTAATATATGTTTAATAGTATATGCCATTTTATATGCTTGGCATACTGGTTGATCTTCTTTGTTTTGTAATTACGAGTGGGTTATTCTCGTATGGCCAATGAGTACACGGGTGAGTACCACTTCTTCCTTAACAAGATTTTCTTGGAGCTGACTTCCATTCTCCTAGTTTGGGCTGGATTGTAAAGAACTTATTGTGTGGGTTATCGTCCTCGTACCAATTTCTTTTGAATGTATTTATTAATAACCTATTTAAAATCTGTGTATGGGATTTTGGCCCTTGTATCCACATTCATACCTGAAGCCAACTTGGCTGCTAGGTTTGCTTCATTATTACCTTTAACTCCAGTCTATAAGCTAGGAATCCAGCATAGTTAGATGTCTTTATGCTTGTTAATAGTGCTCAATTTGCATATTTTCATAATAAATGGGTTGTTGGATTTTTCTTTTTGTTTGCTCTCTGAGATGAGAGCAAGCCTAATTGCATAAGACTCTGCAGTGAAAATAGAGCTTCCTTTTGGGAGGCAACCATTTTTTGGTAATATTTTTGCTCACTCATGCACATCCTATCTTGTCCTCACATTTTGACCTGTCTGTATAGATGGATGTATGGTTAGGGAAGTTTGCCAATATCTCCTGAAACTTGTCCTGGAATGTGAGTGGGTACATTTTTTGTTTGGAGAGATTATATAATTCTAGCAGAAGTTCGGGTTGCTTGATAGTTTGTGGTGAAATATTCGCTGCAGTCATTTCTTGTATATTTGAGAGTGTGGTACCTAACTCTTCAACAACGGATTTTATCCTGAATACGTTTGGTTGTATAGCATTATCTTTTTTGTTAGAATAGATTGCAGTAATTCAGTTCAAAGATAGTGCTGTAAGCTGGGTTAGTTGGGCATTATTTTATTTTTACATAGTACTGTAGTGCCAGTTTAGAGTGCTGTAAATGTGAAGGTGTTTTATTAGCTTCTGTGTATAAGCTTTCCACTGGGATGTTCTAAAAGCCCCGAGTACTAATCTGTGGCCTTGATGATAGGTTGCATTGAGAATTTTTAGGTACCTTTCTGGCCACCCATATATATGAAACTAGTGTAATCCAGTTTTGAGTGAAGTAGTGATCAGTATAATTTGATCAATGTTAGTCAATCTGCTCATTCTGTATGGGCGACTACATGCAGAAGTTGTAGGGCTTTGTTACATTTTGTTTTCAAATATTTTAGATAGGGAACGAACATTAATTATTTAGCAAAGATAATGCCTAGAAACTTGTGCTGTTCCACTACTGAAATTTCTTCTCCATCTAATTTTAAACATGGGTCATTGTGCAATTTTCTTAATTTGCAAAAATGTAGGTATTTGGCTTGTGTTTTTGAAAACAAACCCATTTTCAGTGGCCCATTTGTGTATTATATTGAGACATTGTTGGAGTTGTCTTTCAATGGTTTTCATGTCGAGATCTGTACATGATTAGAAAATCATCAACATATAAAGAGCATCTCATTCCTGGGCTTAGGATTTTAACTATAGATTTACTTTTTATGCAAAATACTGTCACTGAAAGAATGCTTCCTTGTAGAACCACTTCTTGATCTTGCAATGCCGATAACCTACTTCCTATATGGACTTGAAACCTCTGGTCTTTCAGGAAACTCTTTATTAATTGAATCAGCCTTCTTTTTAAACCCAGTTCATGCAAATCTTTCAAGATACCAAATTTCTATATTGTATTGTACGTCTTTTCTAAGTCAAAAAATACTATTGTGAGATGTTCTTTCTTAATGAAAGATTCCCTTACAAAGGTTTCAAGGCATACTAAGTGATCCATGGTATTTTTTTTTCTAAAAGCACATTGGCAGTCACTGATTAGGCCATTAGTACAAGGTACTAAGTCAACCTGTTGCTGACCATTCTCCCCATAGTTTTACATAGACAGCTTATTAGTGCTACTGGCCTGTAGCTTTCAGGGTCTCTGTCGACCTTTCCAGGTTTTAGAATAGAGATGATGAATAACTGTCTTCACATATATGGGAAGTTGCCACTTGTCCATATGCTGTTACACAGTTGTAATGATTTGTTGGGAAACTGTTTTATCAATTGATAGTGGATATCATCTGGTTAAACAGCTGCAGTGTTGGCTTTCTTTAAAGATTCATTTAGTTCCTCTATTGCAAATGATAGGTTATAGCACTAAGCTTTATTTGATTTAAATTTTTGTTTTTCCACTTTGTTTGAGCTTCAGAAATTGTTGGCTACAATTCTTGGCAGATGAGCTTTTGGAGGTTGTTTTGGCTAATTGATCAGCAATATCCTTTTTGCTGGTTATTTTACAGTTATTTATTGAGAGATGTTTTATTGCGTTAGTATGATGTTTACCAGCTATTTTCTTTATCATATCCCATAAAGACTTTGTTTTTGTGGCAGAATTAAATCTGCTCATGTAATTTATCCAATTATTTTCCATGCTTTTGCCCAAAGTTGCTTAAATTGTAACAAATTAGAGATTGAAGGCTGTTTGTTGAAATCTCTTCAAAGCTTTTCTTCTGCACCTGATAGCTTCCTTACACTCATCATTGAATTAAGGTCTATTATGTTTTGTTTTTTTTGTACTGAACTTTTAACAGAACATTGGTTTATAAATTCTACTGCATGAGTCCGCCAGAACCTTCCAAGAGAAATCTATAGATTGATTGCAGAGTAGATGCCAGTAAATGGATTTATGTAGGTCAGAGTTTTATCGTTATAAATACATAAACCATTGATGTTTATAATTGTTTCTAAAGTCCTTCCATTTTATGGTGCTGTGACAGTTGAAGTCCCCTAGTACCATAAAGAGTGCAGGAAGTTGCCTTATACTTTTGTGAATTACAGCTTCATTTACTTGTTCATAAGGTAGGATATATATCAAGCAAATGTTTACTGGCATATGTAGGGTCACTTTAACAGCAGTCACCTGTGATGTAGTTATCAAACTTATTTTACTATGGGGTACCTCATTCCTAAGATAGATGTACCTCATATACACAGGGAGCAATGGATAAATTGTCATCTAAATTACACAAAAATGAAAATAATACCAACATCTTATTTTAACAGATATATGTACCAAAATTACACAAAAATATCTTGAAATACTAAAGTATTCAATAAAATTGCCATTGGCTTCAACCACAAACTCCGGATGACTTCAGAATCTCCTGCAACTCTTCTGGATGGTCTCCTTGTTGGTAAATGCTGCCATAATCCTTGCCTTCAGTTCATCTTTGATGTTAAAAGGAGTTTTATTGATCTCTCGCTCAACTGCGTCCTAAATGAGGTTGGAGTCTGGGGTGTTGGGTGGTCAGATGTAAGGGGTGATGTTGCAGAAATTGTCCAACAGCCAAAACTGGGTTCTCCTGCTTTTGTGGGATTATGCAGAGTCCTGTTGCCAAGTCATGGGGTTTTCCAGCAGCCACTATCTTGACCAAGGGCAGCACTACCTTCTCACAGCACTTGCTTCCATGTTGAGTTGAAGACCCTGTGGGAAGATGAATGGAGGCATGACATTGCCATCACTCATGATCACTTCAAACGCCTTCATAATCACCATGAGACTCATCCAACTCTTTCCAATACCTCTGCACTGTTCTCAGATTGACACCCAAACACTGAAGTGTTTGTATTGAAGCTTCTGGTATGAATGTGCTGGAGCATAGTATGCCGTTTCCAAATTTCTGGCAGAGTGAATTGTGTCATGGTGCTCTTTTTCTCACAGATTGTACACAACTGACCCTACTATATTGTGCAGTTGACAAAATCAAAAACAAACAATGCACGTGTGTTAAAAATATAAAATGGAGACAATTTACCCATCGCACCCTGTATATGGGGAGATACAGAAGTAGTATTATACAGTAGCCCACCACTATTAGGTGAACCAGTTAATTGCAGTACCCAGTATACTTTGAGTGGGTGGTGGACCCCAAGATTTTGCTCTTGTACCCTCAGTAGTGCTCAATTTTAGAAATTCTACCCTATTTTACCAATTTCTGGGCCATCTTCTTCATGATAGAACAAACAGTGATCATCAGATGGGTCCTAATTTGTTTTAATAATTACACCCCTTTTTCACCTATTTTACCTTGATTCTGATGATCAAACAGTCTAAATAATGTGAAATTTTAATACCTCACCAGTTTTACACCTAATCCATTTGTATTGGTAATAATTACACATGATTACTTTATATTTCTATTTCATACACAATCAAAGATTTCCTATAATATCAGACTAATTAACAGGAATTCAATCACTGCTATCAGATACCACGGATGGGGTATAAATAAGAGTACTTTTCTCTGATTGATCATGTTCAATTTGACCGTCCCACAGTAGATATCAATAATGTGTCATAAATAAACAAATATAAATAGCACGTAGTAATTAGGGGTTGCAATCGGGAATTGCAAGAGGAATTGCTTTTGAGGATGGTTAAATTTTATTGTATAAAAAATCTGCTGTAAAACATTGAAATAAGTTGAAATTTCAGAAAATTTGCTTTTTAAGCCCCACACTGTCTCTAATAAAAATTTCCTGAATAGTTATACTTATGTGTAAATTTACATGCTTAATTAAAAAATAACAAAGAAACTTTGATAAAATCTACCTTTTTGGAGCTATCAACAATAAAAGTTAGGACTCATTCACGTTGCGGCAGCCATTACTGGCATTGTTTGCCTATATTTGCTGCAGAATAGACATTCACTTGTCTCAATTATTGCCCATGCACTGATGCAAACAATGCCAATAATGGCTGCCATGCCATAGCTGACGATGACACAAATTACCAGAAATTTCTTATGGAATCATTGGCATAAATTAGTATCATTTTTTAAGGTTCTTTTCAAGCCATTATCTACAGTATATATCACAAAATAGAGCAAGTAGGGCCCAAAAATCAGGTAGGTGTTCAACCCCCTATTAACATCCTTAAAAACTTGTTGATGCTACAGCCATAGGGATAATGCCATCTGTTGAGAAAATACTACAGTAAAGAGAAAGACGAGTTTTTCTTTTCTTGAACTGTGTATACATTTGGTGGACTCTGTATATAAACACATGTAAACTATATCTTTCTGAGAAGTCCTGGCATTCTACAAACCATTAAGAAGAGAAATCTATGGAGAGCCATGATCACTTATGTCCTGAAGGGATATGGCAAAAAAAAAAAAGGTCACATACCAATTTATCAAAACTAATTACAATAAGCCAAGGTCATAAGGAATTAATGATCCTACATGTCCCAAGTTATTTTGTTAAGATGAACATCATTAATTTTTGACTTGTCTTTATCGTATCTTTTCCTTACACTAAGTAATAGTAGTAGATATAATAGTGTGTGCTTTTTCAATTGTTTTGCATGAAGCATCATTAAGTTTTGACAAGTTTATCTGTTAATGTAAAAACAAAAAGATGAAGATGAAAAGAACTTGTTCAAAATAGAAATGTCCTAATTTGGCTTCTTTTTTTTTCCATCCTCAATAAGTATTTTTATTCATTTTGTTTTTGTAGCCCCACAAGTACCAAATCCAGGCATCCATTTTGAGAGACTCTTGGCCTTTGATTCCTGCTGACTGGCAATTTGTCATGTCCCTCAAGGATAACCTTAGAAATGAACTTAAGGGTAAATGCTTAGAAAACTTACTTGATGACTATCTGTATGTCTGTCAACATTACTGTTCAGATGTGTCTATCCGTGAATTTATTTTATTCCTAATTTACAGATATGGATGAACCCACATTCTCATGTTGTCCCATTGCCAGATAGCTTAATAAAAACACCCAAGCACACTAAGAGTAATTGATGGATGAATGGATGAATGAACATTCAAGTTTCCAGATTGATAAAAACTTGATTCTATAAAAGGCTAGTGATGCAGATAAAATCCCTGTTGTTGTACATAAGAACCTTTGTTATGAATTGTCTCCAATCTTGGTAAAGTTGTTTAATTGCTGCTTGAAAGTGAAATGTTTCCCCAAGTATGTGGAAGTTGTCAACTGTTTGTCTTGCCTCCTTTTTTCAATGATGTCGAACAAAAACACAACTGGATGTGTGTCTCAAAAAGCTGTTTAAAGATCGTGGTAATTAGTTGACAATATATTCCCATTGTTTTTTCATTAGAATTTGAGTGAAAAAGTATATCTTACTGAATTTATTTAATAAATTCAATACATTTTAAAATATGATTGGGGGGAGGGTCATCTTGTAAAGCAAATATAGACCAAAACCTATATTTGAACTTGAAAATATGGTGGTCATTTTATACACCCAGTTGCCTTGTATGCCAGCATGGATAATAAATCTACCAAAATTTATATAATATGAGAGAAGATCAAAGTATAGCATCTGTTCTTATCAGCTTCTGTCCTGCATATGACAAACTACAAACCAGTAACAAAGCCTTGGATCAGGAGGTTTTGAGGAGCATGGAACCACCTTTTAATTGCTGTTGTTCCCAGGTTCACCCTGACTCTGGGTGGTAGCATGTACTACAGTCTCATCTATGGGCAAATAGTTAACCCCCAAACTGGGGTCAAAACACTATGAATGTATAATAATACATTTTCATAGTAAAAATTCAAATACACTTTAAAAAAAAAAAAAATTACCAGCAATACATTTTTTTTGTAAAGGAAATTACTAATGCTCCCAAGAAAATTAAATTTCAGGATTAACTGACCCATAAGGAATTGATATGCCACTAAAAAACAAACCCTTATAAGTTTAATCCGACTTTCTCTCTCCACTTTTATCTTCCTTTCCCTTCTTTCTTTTTTGCATTTTCTCACTGAAACAAATAGTGACTTTTCCCCTCTTTCCATGTGATCAAAATAGAATAGTCCATTACTTATGAGGTATCAGCAGAATGTAACAGTCATGCTGACTAATGAAGGGTGGAACAAGCACAATTATAATAGGATTTCACATACTGTTGTAGAGTAGCTAGCACCCCTTCAGCACTCTACCACATGGCCTGGCTCATAGCCTTAAATAGTTTACAATTAAGGACTTCAACATTTGATTAATAAGTTGATACTAAGCTGATTAATATTCAGACTGATCTCACTAGGTGCCTTACATTTGTGGCCTTGTACCAAACTAAAATTCATAAACATAAACACACAAAAATTGTCACCCTCATAACAGATAATAATGTTAATAAACCACTAATTTGAATTTTCTCATGTATCCTAATATTTAATGAGTAAATAAGCTTGACTATGAAATACCCATCGAAATTCCCCTATTGCATCATCAAATACCCAAGCATATCAACTTTAATAAAATATCACTATAACAATCCTAAGTATGAATGAAGGTCATTATTTAAAGAACTAAGAGGGTACAAATGAAAAGATATTGAAAATTAACAAGTTTTTCCATTTCACTGATGCAGACATTAAATACATGGGAGCATTATTACCTACTCTATCTTCTATCTCTTCCATCTTTCACTAAAACATTATCTCTGATGGGTCTTTTTTTGTCTTACCTCAAGATCAAAATGGTATAGTCCATTATTTTTTATGTATTGACAGGGTATAATTTTTTTAATCATTTCACCCCAAGCATAGCAATAAAGCCACTAAGAGATGGAAGGGGTTACTGAGAGTGAAAGAAAAAGAGAAACATTAAAAGAGAGAGAACAATAAAAGTAGAAGAATTAAGACAGAAGATAACGATTAACATTGCATTTAAATTTTTGAAGATCAAATTTGACTAGGAAGCAAGAAGCCGGAACAGAGTTCCATAAATGAGAAGTGCAAGAGAAGAAACTGTTAGCATAGAACTTACAGTTATATCTAACCATTTCAACTGTAAAATAATAAGACCTTGCTGTCAATATAGTACAGCACTTAAATTCAGAAATTCTAGGTACCATAACAAAATCCATCAGAAGAATGACCATGAAAGTATCTATAGAAAAGGCACAGGGAAGCTATGTTATGGGGTGGGCAGCTGAGGACAAGAAGTCAGGATCAGTAACATTGCAGATTCTTCTTAGAATTTTTATCAATAATCTCTCAATACATAGCAGAAGCACCAGACCAGTAATATTCTAAGCATGGATGAATGGTAGATTTATAAATATGTAAGATAGATTCTGGCAAGAAAAATTGTCTTGCATGACACAGTGAACCAACCTCTCCTAACAGCAGGCTTTGCAGTTGATTCAATATAATCTTTTCACTTCATGTCAGTGGAAAAAATTAGCCAAAGAAAGTGCAAGGAGTTACTCTCCTGGAGGTTGGCATTTGTTGGAAGTCAAAAAAAGGTTGTCTAAGACAAAAAAGAGCAGTTACATTTTGGAGGCCATCTTTTTATAATATATGTGCTAACTCACTAAGGAAGGAACAAGCAGAATTATAGGATGATTTATTATTATTATTATTATTATTATCATTTGACCATAATGTCTAACTTACCGTTTCCTATTTTTAGTCGACTATAAGGAAGTATCAACTTCACCTAACCTACGGCAAGACAAAGCAGCATTTCCACCTCCAAAATTAAAGGTGGGAAAAGGCAAACCAATAAAGGAGATAAAAGAAAATAAAGAACAGCTCCGTCCCCCATCACAGCAATTTGAAAGCAACCGACCTCATTGGATATTACGGGTGGTCAGTGATAGCAATAATGCCGTAAGTATTGTCTCTATGTGGGAACTGTGGATTTTACAAGTCCAAATTGTATGAAGAATTCTTTAACTGAATTTACAGAAACAATTTTTAAAGATTCCTGCTAATATTTTTGTATCATCGATTTTCCAAAATTGAATGACAGATCTTTTGTTCCAAGTTTGAAATGTGAAGTGATACTAAATACTAAATTCTAGTAACTGTGTTTTTTTTCTCTTATCTGTCAGGTCACCAAACTATACCAACAAGTACTTATTTAGTAATATTAATTTCTGCCTTCATGTTTTGAAATCCAATGTTCCGTTTTCTAAGGTTTTATTGATAAATCCTGTCATTCAAGTATTACAGGTTTTATAAAACACATCATTTGAGAAGAGGGCTTTTTTCTTAGTAATAAAAATAAGGTACTAAGCTTCTCAGTCTGAAACTAAATAATTCAAGTAGGTACAGTTACCCAAAAAGAACAAGTGAAAGATATAAAAATATGCATCTGATTATTCAGGTGAAAAGATTATTGCATATTGGACAACAAAGAATCAAGTTAAATTTCTTTTCTTTTTTTTTTTCAGCCTTCAGATATTTTGCTCATATAATATTTTTCTTCTACGTGTCTTGTCCCTTCAGGATGTGGACAATCATGACTCTCCATAATTTCCTGTCCTTTGTAGCTCTTAGGAAATTTTGTCTTTTTATTATCTCTTAATCCCTGTTCTGCCAGCCATTTACACAAGCTCATGAGGTAGGTCTTTTGCAGCTTTTCTCTGTCCTTCTTGCCTTCAATCTGTCCTGTCAGTGTCAAATTCTCCAAGCCCTCTTTCCTCATTATGTACCCAATAAATTTCAATTTTTTCTTTCTAATTTTAAGTATAAGTGTACTGTTCGTTTCCATTTTCTCTAAAACTTTGTTGGTCACATATTCAATCCATGGTATGCTGAGCATCCTTCTGTAGAACCACATTTTAGTTGCTTCAAGTCTCCTCTTCATTTGTGATCAGATTGTCCAGCATTCCCTGCCACATAGACCAATATTACGTAATGGTTCAGCACTCTTGTTTCTAATAACATTTGTGTTTTTTAATACTTTGCTTAACTTTTGGAAGGTATCTTTCATTATTCCAATGTGATCTCAAATTTTGGTCTCACATTCTCCATCTTCTGTTAAAATACTTTCTAGAGATTTAAATTTTTGTACTTCCATAATTTTGGTATCTGTAATTTGTAGTTCACATTGGGATTTTCTTTTTACTGACAATCATATATTCTCTCTTCTTATAGTTGATGTTTAGTCGTTTCTTCTTCCTTTTCTTTACTATCATCTGTAGGAGCTCTTGTAGTCCCCACCCCCCGGTGTCTGCTATCAACACTGTGTCATCTGCATATCTCATAATGAATCCTGGTAGAAATTCTAATTTTCTCATGATTCCCTTACAGTAAAGGTTGAATAAGTCTGGCAAGAAGACACATTCTTGTCTTACACCCTTTTCTATATCTGTGTATTTACTGAATACATTTTCTATCCATATGCAGGCGGTTTGCTTCCAATATAAAGTCATGGATTATTCTAATATCTTTCCCAAATAAATTTGACTTTCATTGAATTTTTTGTTAAAAAGCTATTTTGTCTGAAAATAAAAATAATTCAAAACATGTTTTTTTTTGGTTTTTTTTTTTTTATAGTTGGAAATCAACACTGATATAAATTCCCAAATTTTATTAACAGACACTTAATATATTAAATCTCATCAAAATCTTATATTTATTTCTGAAGCAATGTCCAGTTGTTTTTATATTATACAACTGGCAAAACAATGCTTCCTCTAAGGAATTAAAGGAATAACACTAATAGAAGCTGATTCTGTATTTGCACCAATTTGCTCAAGTCAATGATATCATTTTAATACCAGGAACAGCTAGAAGTACGTCGGGATACATCAAGAGCAGAAGAAATACGTCAGCTGAAGAAAGCATGGGAAGAAGCAGAACCTGGACGTGCAGCAAAGGTAGGACAACAAATATTAAGCATAAGAATCTTCAGTACAAATTTGCAGTCTGAAATTAGAGTTATGTCTAAGAAATATTGATTGTGAAGAAAAACCAATTCAGACTTTCGTTGCTGGTCACATTTTTGAATTTTAATCTTGAAAGGCATGTAAAGACTTTAAGTGAATCTTTTTCTCTAAAAATTGATCATTGCTCACGTGTTCAGCCCATGGTATTCTCAACATCCTCCTGTAGAGCCACATTTTGTTGCCTATGGTCTCCACTTCATTTGTGATTAGATTGTCCAGCATTCACTGCCATATAGAAATCATGAGGTTTCTCATATATCTGAAGTCACTAATCATTTCACCCAAAACAAGGCAATAAAAGCCGCTAGGATGCAAGGAATTACGGAGAGTGAAGGAGTCTGAGAAAAAATATCATTAAGGAGATAGAACAATAAAAAGGACAGGGTTCAAGATGATATAGGACAATGATTGACATAGCATTTAAATTTTTGAAGATTGTAGTTAACAGAAAAGCAAGTAGTGCAACAGAAGAAATAGAATTTAGGGTTACATTTAGCAATTTCAACTGTAAAATGCCACAACTGCCAATCTAGTACTGAGATTAAATTCCTTGAACCTCCACTTTGTGGCCACCGTAGTTTCTATACATTTATATTCCAGAGAATGTAAATAAATCTAAAAGACATGCCTGTGTAGCTAATCAGTATTTCACTGATTGATTGTTTTTTACAGCTTATCAACACCTTGCAGGTTATTTAAGGCCAGATAACAGTTTAGTGATATGGGTCTTACTAATTAACCCATAGCTGGGAGAAAGAAGTAGATTCATAACAAACCCAATGGGAATTGGAACTCTGCTCTCTGATTAAGAATTCTGATCCATTATCCATTAAACCACCCACACATCCAAGCTTAGAGCACCTTGTATTTCCAAATGGTTCCCCATCTCATTACTGACCAGGCTCGATATTGCTTAACTTCGGTGATCATATAAGAACCAAGGTTTCAAAATGATGTGGCTGCCACCCTCATAATTTGGTATGAATTTGCTTACAAAATCAAATATTTGTAGATCTGAGGTTGATATGAATTCATTATTATCACTTTTTTCCTCTTGATCAACAAAAGCCTATGATTAAAACTTTGGTTCAAAAAATTTTCAAGAACATTATGAGAGCAGCACGCTAAAGAAAAAAAAAAGACAAGACAGATTCAATTATTCAATGTTTCTCTGCCTTTATTCTTCCAGGCTGCACAATCCCGTTTGAAGTATCTGAATACACATTTGATCCAGGTTGATGTGGAGAACGAAATGGAAGAAACATTGGCTGACCAAACACCCACAAACACTCCACCAAATGTGCTAGTAAAAGAAAAAGTACCTTTGTTAGACCTCACACCCTATCTCAAGTAAATTCTGTTATTTATCAATAATTTCTTTCAACCAAATGTCTTCATTATGTATTGAACTTTCATAAAGAAAGATAATAAAATGATAGAATGACACATACAGAAACATACACCAGACACATTTTCCAGTTGTCTTGTAAAGATTGGGATTAAAAATGATTTAAGGTTTAACAAAGACTTGTTTATTTTCAAATAGTAGAAGTGTGGAAAGAATATACCAAGTAGTTATCAAGTCAGTGTGTTGGCTTTTTAGTTCATGAATACAGGGGAACCTAAATATTGCTTTCAACATGGTGCATAGTCATACAAAGATATGTGGTCAAGAGTTTAATGATCTTTGTTTAATGAAAGTACAACACATTCTTTTATAAAGAATTGCAGCAAATAAGGAAATATTTTGAAATTACATTAATGATGCTTTTTATCACATGGCTGTTAAAAATCTTAGTTTCATTTTTACAAGCCTTCCTTCAATAATACAGATTATTTATATATATATATATATATATATATATATATATATATATATATGTATGTATGTATGTATGTGTGTGTATATATATATATATATATATATATATATATATATATATACATACACACACAGGTCAACACAAGCTCTGTGACAGTGTTTTATGCCTGAAGATTGCATTCAAGCATGAAACACACCGCTTAGTGTTGACATCAGTGTCCATTTTATACTTAGTACTTTTACCCATAAATATATATATTATGATATAATATTGAGTACTTTTACCCATAAATATAGCATACCGTAAAACTATATTTTTATTATACATATATATCAAGCATACTTTTATATTATTTAAAATTCCAGTCATTTCTAAACTAATCAGTGCTCTATCATTAAAATGAATTTAGTATAGTTGTAAAGTTTCATAACTCAAAAACTATAATGAAAAGCAAATCAGATGTAACTGGTTCGAGGCTAGCTCCATTGTTCTCAGCTCACTTCCAATAACAGGTTAACAAAGTAACTACTTTGATCTCAACTCTAACCTACCCACTTTGTGATTTGATCTTAGGTAGATGAGATCAATCAGACATCGGGTTGTAGTGCAAGATGAGTCTAAACTGGAGGTGATGTCGCACAAGCGTAAAAAGAAATAAATAAATAAAAACCAGAAAAAGATTTGGGTATGTTGAAAGAAAGCAAATAAACTTTTATCAGTCTGTTCTATACAGGAGTATATGTTTTTCCCAACCTGTTTATTCTGAGAGTGACACTATTATACTTCTTGGCAAGTTCTGGTCTTCTAAGTCAACTGGTTTAGTTTTTACATGCTGGCTTAGCTTTGTTCGTCAGTATAATTTGCTGTTTTCTAGAAAGCTGAGGTCAGAGGCCAGAATCGTGGAATATCGCAGACAGCTTCTGCGAGACAACTGTTTCCTGTTAGCGAACTGAAAAACAAACTGGCAAACTGCCTGAGGGCACTCGCTTATATGGACTTTGACCAAAAACCAGTGCTGGGTTAGACACAGCCTGGGGTTTTTGGTAATTCCCCGATTCCTACAATAGTTCCTTTGTTGTCAGACTAGAAAAATTAATTACTTCCCACGTTTGGAAAATTAATTACTTTTCCATTTTTTGGGGGGGATCCCTTCATCTGTGAGGAGAATGTTGCAAGATAGCCATCCTCCTAAACTCCTTCCTTCTCACATTGGTACCTCATACCAAATCCTTTTGGTGAGCGTTAGTAATTTACCAGTCTTTCTTATCAATTTACCCCTGCCTATCACCCTTGTTACCACCCGACCAATGGCATCTCAGTCATGCAGGTGTGGCTAAGCTTGCTTCATTAATTAACTCTTTGACATTCCTGTTTATTCAGGATTTCTGAGTTCAGAATTATCAACTTTGTTTATTAAATTCCCTTTTTCTTACAAATAACACATGGTCCTGTCACTTGGCCAACTCCTAAAATCTTTGTGATTTTGCATGATATCTTCAATGCTTTCCAGCTATTTTGTGTTCTATCAACCAGTGCTTTTACTATCATCATCAATCGTCAAAAGCTTGCCACATTACTCTTCTGTGAATTTATCATTGATGCAACTCCCTGGTTTCTTGAGAAAAGTAACTTTCTTTTTAAAGTAAAAATAAAATCTTGGGATATCTTCTTTTCCATTCTCAGTATTTTCTTGTTTAATTTTTATGGCTAATTAGTTAATCAATTACCATCGCTAAATAGTGTCACAATCCTCCCTTACCTATCCTGTCATTTACCCGTAAATGACACTGAAAATCCCAGTACACTATTTAGCATGCATTTGTTTCATGCAATTCCAATTTCTTTTCATGATGTGTTTTCATGATCTGTCCTCCTTCTTCATCTGTGTTTCTGCATGCAATGTAATGTTCATTTCATTTTTCATGCAATTTAAAGTGCACGTGTGCTTGTGGGTAAGTGTATGTGAGGTGTTATGGCTTGTTTTTCTTAGTCAATGTTTTTCTCTCTGCAACAGGAGGTTTTTCCGCCATATGTGTCAATTCCACTTCAGCTTCTTCTGTTGGCTTCTCTACAATTTCCTCTTTAATTCTGTCTGGGTAAAGAACACTGCTCGGCATCTCCCTCTCGAGTTGTTGCATGCTCATATGATTACCACAAATTAATTCTCTCCTACTTCTTCTAAATTTCCGTATTGCTATTCCCATCGTGGCAATAATTATCAATGTACTCATCATTGCCGACCAATTTATCACAATCTGTTCATCATCCTCCCAAGCCATACCTCCCTTTCCCAACACACATAATTTGTCCCTCAACTGATCCATATTGATCTTTTCTATCGGCTTCATTAGCCCTGGCATTTTATTCAATGTAACATTAGGGAATCCACTCACTATTGGCTCCCACAACTCTGTACAATTGACTAAACTTCTGTTCATATCTTTCTTCTACTTGGTAATATGGGGGTAAAGAAATAGATATCCCAAATGCCTAACATCCCAGGAGAAATTTTAACAGAGATAATGGGGGTTTCACTTTTAGTGACCTTGTGGACTCTCCCACATACCCTAGACAAGCTGGTCGGTTCCTGTGGGGACACTGCCCACACTCCACCTGAAATATTGACAGCTTGTGGCAATGCCGTGTTTGTTAATACTTCCACTTGACAAGATTTCTCAATTCTTTCTTTCTTCCCTTCAAACAATTCTAACACACACATTTTGTAATTACCTGCTACATAGATGGGACTCAATGATGTATAAGTTCCCAAAGCATCATTTCTACACTTTCTACCTTCTTCTGCTGTCAGCAACATAAACTTTGTTCTACCTGAATTTAAAGATATGTATTCCATTTCCACCTTGTATCTTGCCACCATTCCTAAACCTTGATCTCCTCTGGGGTGGGGAATAGGTAAATTTATGACTTGATACAACTCAAATATACTCTCTCCATCCAACAACGGAATAGACATCAAAACTAATAGCTTTCTATTTTCCAACAAGGTAACACATCCCAGCGCACTATAATATTTCCGCAATTCTTTGGTGGGATCCATTGGCAACCTTAAATGATGGGGTAATTCTGTTTGTATTCCAAGTAGCAATTCTCTCAAGTGACCCGGGGTTACTATGCTTGGGGACAGGTGTCCCAATGATAACATGTCTAATTGAGCTCTCACATGCTCATTTAGTTGTCAACGACTGACTAATTTGTTGCACCTTATTCATAATTGTCATTAGTTGAAAATATTTTTGCTTAAAACAACTCATTTCCTGTAATTCCACCATTACAGTTTCTGTATCATTAATTACCTCTTGTCTCAACTCTGCTAGGTTACTTATCAGCCAATTAATTCTGGTTCTATTCTTGGCCAGTTCCAACCTTGTCACATTTAATACTGACATACACTCCCTTGCCACATGAGCTAGCATTCTCTGGTTTATCTCCACTTCTCCCAGTTTTCATGTTATGATTTTAACATCATCTTCAGTCACTGTTCCAAACAGGACATTTAACACTTTTCCAACAATTGGATCCACCAATCTCATCTCTCTCGTCTGCAGTAGCTCTATTTTCTTCAGGTAATTTTTCATGTCCCTCCATTTAGCCTCTATCAGAATGGCCTCTAAATCTAGGGAATACAGTAATCTGAGATATCTCTTCTCCTTGGGATAATTTCGCCCTTCCTTCAACCTGGCTGTACGCAGCTGTTTCTTAGTTTATTTAACAGCGACTCATATGTATTTAAATCTATCACGAATGTGATCAACCATTTTGACCTGGTTATTATTACTTCACTCATCTGCTTAAAAATGGTACTTCGGCTGTGCTTCCAAGCTTACGTTGTCCTTATCATCATCATTGTAGCTATCATCATCAATCCTTTTATTTTGGTCATTCCTGCAAGGCATATTCTTTCTAACCATTCAGTTTTTTTCAATTCTTCACTCAGTTATTCTAGGATAATTTCATAATTTCTTTTCTTTAATTTTCAACCTTTCAGCTCTTCCCTCTTCTAACTCTTAGTAGATCGATTGGTTTGGACAGGTGCACAGGGCTCTCTCTTCAAATGTCGTACTTCCGTGACACTACTGTTGGCCAGTCAGCAATAACTATAATCTTTTTCCATCGCTCGTGAGGTGCTGCCCACATTTCTATCCCTTCCAACCAAATCCATGAGTCAGTGAATAGGTTTTAGGATGAGCCAGTGTTGTTCTGTCTACACTAATGCTTCTATTCTTCACAGCCATTTTTGTTCTACTGAGAATTGGGCTTCCCCACCCCTCTCAATCTCATCTTCAGAGGTCATTCCAATTCAACCCCTAACCTCCTTTCAGTGTTCAATTCCTCTTCAGGAGGGGTTTCATCCTTTTCCTTTTCTCCTGTTTCTTCCTTCTACTCAGGGAGCTTTGAGTCCATACCTTGGACTTCTTCATTACTCTTTGATTCAACCTTTAGAGATCCTTTATTTCTTAGCTTCTCTCTGAGCTGGGAAAGGGGGTATCTCATCCTCCTCCTCCTCCC